CCAACCCTTGATCCAACCCCGCTGTGGTTCCCAGCCCATGGCACTGATGCCACATCCAGTCTGTCCTTAAACACCTCCAGGGATGGAGAATCCACCCCTTCCCTGGGCAGCCCATTCCAATGGCTGAGCACCCTCTCTGCAAAGAAATTCTTCCTAATATCCAACCTAACCCTCCCCTGGCACAGCTGCAGACCCAGCCCTCTTGTCTTGCTGATGGTTGCCTGGGAAAAGAGACCAACCCCCCCCCGGCTCCCCCCTCCTGTCAGGGAGTTGCAGAGAGTGAGGAGGTCTCCCCTGAGCCTCCTCTTCTCCAGGCTGAGCCCCCCCAGCTCCCTCAGCCTCTCCTCCCAGCACTTGTGCTCCAGTCCCTTCCCCAGCCTCGTTGCTCTCCTCTGGACCTGCTCCAGCCCCTCCATGTCCTTCCTGAGCTGAGGGCCCAGAGCTGGACACAGCACTCCAGGGGTGGCCTCACAGGGGCAGAATCACTTCCCTGCTCCTGCTGCCACCCTGTTCCTGAGCCAGGCCAGGATCCATTGGCCTTCTTGGCCACCTGGGCACACTCTGGCTCCTGTTCAGCTTCTTTTGAAACTCCAGACATCCTTTACGAGGCCGAAAATGTACTTGTTCATTTTCCATTCCCACCTCATTTTCCCGCTGCCCGGCTCCGTGCTCCGGCTGTGCACTGCCTTCGGTGTTACCTTGTGCTGCTCCGTGGGGAGGTGCCTGAGGCAGTCTCAGGGCACTGGACACCCTGTCACCACAAAGCCCAGCCCAGCCCACCCAGAGCTGGGCCTGGCTGTGTGCAAAGAGCCCTGGACTCCTGTGGGCTCCTCACAGATTTCTGCCTGCAGGAACAGCTTGTAGGGCTGAGGCTTAGAAGGGATTCCTGAAAGGTGCTTTTCACAGCACAGATGATGTGAGGAAGGTCTCAGATACAGTCACACATGTTAAAACATATGTCTTTCCTTCTGTTACAAAGGTACCACCTGAACTTGCCGGGCAGCACTTGTGACTTACAGTGTTGATGGGTAATTCCTGAGCAGAACTGTCCTGAAGCTGGAGTTCACCGTTCTGCAGGATGGCATTTTGGTCTGAGCTCAGCATTTATAGGCTCAGGTATTGACTAACTCGCTACCAGCAGGGACCCATTAGGCATAACTTCCAGAATCTTGAAAATATGAACAGATATTCCTTGGATTCTTACCAAATCCTCCCCTCCAGACAGTGAAGCTGAACAAACAGTGGGCAGAGCACGGGGAATGCGAGCTGCAAAGCAGCTAAACCCTTCTTTGAAGCTTCTGATGCCACATTATTTGCATGATCCACAGTTAATATATTGGCTTGTGCCTGTATCAAGGAGGATCAGTTTTTAATTGCTATCAGTAAATAATAATTATGACAATTTATACCAAAAGGAAAAAAATTTGGTGATGACCACATTACACCAATTTTTATTTATTTGGATTGTTTGTTTTAATTCCATTCTTAGAGAAGAAAATATCTTTTCTTGTTCTCATTTACAAAATATGAGCTCTGCTCACCCACACACTGTAACATTTCAGATACCAGCATTTCCATGCAGGATTGGATGAGCACTTTCTAAACCTGTTTGGAGGAAACATGGTTGAAATCTTCACAGCAGAAGACTTAAAAACAGTGCTAGATGCAATTTCGAGGAAACCCTCTGTTTGGATGTATCTGTTCTATCCAGGAGAGCACAGCACAGGAGTCCTGAGCTGCTGCCAGTTGGACTAAAAGACTTACCACAGTTTAAGCTAAAAAAAAAAATTAAAATCTTACAAGTGATATAAAAGCCCATGTTGTGGTACTAGAATGGCACTGAATTAAATCTTCCAAGGGTTCAGATTATGCTGCACCTGTGTGCTTTAGAGCTCCTGAAACCTTCTTCAGTGTGCCCTTGCTCAAGTGATGAGGCTGAAGGAGTGTGTGGAGTCAGTGTTGCTCAGCCCCCTTGCCTTTGGGTGGCTGGCTGTGGTTACTTGTACAACACAGGAAAATTCATCTTGTGGTAAAGATGTGCCTGGTGGCCTCTGTCTGCATGGGAATTGGGTGCAGGGGCACATAATGCTTCCTGGGATGCATGTCAGCACCACAGATGTGTTTGGGAATAAGGCTCCATTTGATTTAACCTGTGGGGGGGCATGAGAACCCATTGCTGTTTATCACTGAAATAGTCCAGAACATCAGAGCGGGAAAAATAGCTGCTCTTTGTTCTTTTGCACCCTAAACCAGCCATTCAGGTATTTCTCTTTAATCCACTTCCCAGGAGTGACCCTTCTCAACAGCAGGGATCCCTCTCTTGCCATGACTTCCTAAGCACTGCTCTGGCTTCTACCCCAAAGCATTTGTGCTTTAATATCTGCCACTTACTGACACAAATCCCGTGCTTTGCCCTGGCCCTGTGCACTGGTATCCCAATTTATGCTACTGTGGTGAGGGGAGCAGGAAGAGAGTTATGTCACATAACCCAATTCTGAAATCCTTTGTGATTCATGGGATGTAAAAAATGCTACTCTTGTCACTTGTGTCAGACACAGTAACAGGAAACAACATAATCAGTGAATTCTGAGTAGATGGTTCTTGAGCTTCAGTTCCAAACTTGATCCCCAACTGGCACTTTGAGACTGCTGTGGAGGAGAGTGGACAGCATGAAAACATGTGAAGAACAACTGCATAGTGTCTGAGTTCCCATTTCATTTCACCAGAGGCTTCTTTATCCAACAGCTTTTAGCATCTGCTGTTTTCATCCAAGAGCAGAACACGAAGTCAGCCCAGGCAAAACTTCAGTCTGAGCTGTGGCAGCAGTTGCAATACATTTATGGTAAAGTCAAGGATGTTTCCATCTGATGCCTTTGTTTGTCTAACAGCAGTCACAAGGTCCCTCTTCCCCAGCCTCTGGGGTCAGTAACAGAACAAGCTCACTGGCCAGTTCCACTTAATTATTGTTCTTTTTTGGTGAATTAAAGAATAAAAGTCACTGTGTGACTGTGCTTTACTAATGTGTGTGGTTATTAATAGCCAGTGTGGTCCCCCTTCCAGCCTATGGGCCACAAAATACATTTGCCTTTGGTCTCGAGAATCAAGTAGTCTGGGAAGCCACTGTTCTGTGAAGAGATGGGACAAAAAGCTTATTGAACAACCCTTCCTTTTGAACAGCAGACTGATCTCTCTTTTTATTTTTAGGCTGTTAATGACAAAAGTTGCTTTATTGATTTACTTTTCACAGATGAAGACACGTTCTCAATTTGGACAAAGACTTCCCCAGCCATAAGCTGCCCAGAGTGGTTACATTTTATTTAAGACGTTTTAAATGTCTTTTGGTTCATTATAACCTTGAATTCACATCTGGAGAAAGAGCCACACACTCTAAGAGAAATTCTTTTAATTTAGTGAGAAAAATAAGAAAAATTATTTTTGCAAAAGGTTTTACAGGACTAAAGTACAACCAAGAGAAGCATTCACTAAAACACTTAGCACAAAGACCCATTCCACAAAAACCACCCACTACAAACAATCAATATACCAGCTTTAGTGAAACACAATTAACTGGTTTTAAGTTACCCCAAGAGAAGGAAAAGAGTAAAACAAAAAACAGATTAAAAGTAAAGAAAGAAGGAAGGAAGAAAGAGAGGAGAAAAGAGAGAAAAAATAGTTGCCAATCAGAGGAGAGGAAGAGAGAAAACTCAGGGGAGTCTCTGTAATTCTAGAGTTCAGTGTTCCCTCCCAGGCAGGACATGTGGTCAGTGCCTTGCAGGCCAGAGGGGGGGTGCTGGAGCCAGTCACAGCTGCAGGGCTGTGGGGTGGGCAGGTGCCCGGACTGCCAGCCCGGCTGCTCGGCCTTCAGTGCCAGCCTGTGCTGTGCATGGGCTGTCAGTGACACCCTGTGCTGTGCATGGGCTGTGAGTGACACCCTGTGCTGTGCATGGGCTGTGAGTGACACCCTGTGCTGTGCATGGGCTGTGAGTGACACCCTGTGCTGTGCATGGGCTGTGAGTGACACCCTGTGCTGTGCATGGGCTGTGAGTGACACCCTGTGCTGTGCATGGCCCTCAGTGACACCCTGTGCTGTGCATGGGCTGTGAGTGACACCCTGTGTTGTGCATGGGCTGTGAGTGACACCCTGTGCTGTGCATGGGCTGTCAGTCAGTGCCAGCCTGTGACACCCTGTGCTGTGCATGGGCTGTGAGTGACACCCTGTGCTGTGCATGGGCTGTGAGTGCCAGCCTGTGCTGTGCATGGGCTGTCAGTCAGTGCCAGGCTGTGCTGTGCATGGGCTGTGCCACCCTGTGCTGTGCATGTCCCTCAGTGCCAGGCTGTGCTGTGCATGGGCTGTCAGTCAGTGACACCCTGTGCTGTGCATGGGCTGTCAGTCAGTGCCAGGCTGTGCTGTGCATGTCCCTCAGTGCCAGGCTGTGCTGTGCATGGGCTGTCAGTCAGTGCCAGGCTGTGCTGTGCATGTCCCTCAGTGCCAGGCTGTGCTGTGCATGGGCTGTCAGTCAGTGACACCCTGTGCTGTGCATGGGCTGTCAGTCAGTGACACCCTGTGCTGTGCATGGGCTGTCAGTCAGTGCCAGCCTGTGCTGTGCATGTCCCTCAGTGCCAGGCTGTGCTGTGCAGGGCACAGTGTGCTGGCTGCAGCCCTGCAGCTCTGTGCTCTGGGGGACCCTGCTGGCTGCAGGCTGTATGGGATATGGCAGCCTTACCATGGACCTGCAGGTTCAGCCCCAGTCCTTCCACACCCACTGTCCCAGCGAGTTGGTTCTGACCCGTATCAATAATTCAGTGAGGTTCAGATGCACTATCTCCCAGGGGCTGTGTGGGCTGTGAGGGATATGGAGTGTTTGAGAGCTGTGGGGGCTGTGAGGGCTATGGGGCTGTGTCTCAGTTTAATGAGACTGTTTTGCTCAGGAGGATGAGTTATGAGGAAGACCAAACTCCTCCCTCTAAGCAATTGTAAATCCAAAATTAAGAGGCTCCAATTGTGGAGAAGGAAAAAAATAACAGCCCTTTGTTAAAGGATATCTGTGTATGGGCAGAACAACAAAAGAACACAAAACCAACTAAACAATAATCCTGTACCCAAAAACCCCTTTCAGAAAGGAAACAGTTCAGTACTTTCCCCCTTTTTGTGCAATTCTAACCACAGTCAGCAGGGGTTGGGCTCTGTTGGGCTCTGGAAGTCACTGTGTGGGGACCCCGAAAATGTTTGTGAACAACAGGCAAAGCTGAAGTTGTTGAGTTAGTCCTTGCACCCTTCACACTTAACCAGCACCATAAAGATCCAAGGACCTCAGCAAAACCCTACATTTCATGCTTAATACCTGAAGCATACATTTTGTAGAGTTTGTGAATGGTACATGTTCTGTTTATTAAGGGTACTGTGTAAATGAAATTCGCAAATACTGAAGAGGTTAAAATTATTAGCAACATTTCTGCAGTTTAGCAGGCCTCTGTGAGATTAATAAGAAAAAAAAGTCATCCCTGTGCTTCACCCTTGACTGCTGCACAAAGGCCCTGTACCCCTGTTTTGACAAATGAGAAAACAAGGGCAGCAGCCTACATGTCTAATTGTTGGGGAAAATGAGTCCCTATGCACGATCCACATCTGACACTGTGTTATAAACAGACCCATTGTTGTGTATTTCACCTGGGATATAAATTATACCCCTGACATTACCAACCTGTTGGCAAGTTTCCAGATGGGTCTGATTTTGGTATACTACAATGCTTACTGCAGAGCAAAGAACATTAAGGAATGTTTTCAAAATGTAGGAAGATGTCCTGTAAGGATTTTCTGAAGTTCTTTTATTAAGTTTGCTGATTTTTATTTACTGTTCGTGTACTGTGTGTTTGGAGTCAGACGCTGATTGGCGTCACCTTTAATTTCTCTGGGAAAATTGCCCTGTACATAAGGTAAAACACTTTCTGTTGTTCATTATAACTGAAGTCAAAGGCTATCAGCAAGTTTATGAGTCAGTAATCAGAATAACTACTGGTTGATAACAGTCATTCAAGCAAAAGAAGGTTCAAATTGAGTTTTTTTGTAGTAGAAGGACCACATTTTCCCAACATTTTTTCAAGTTCTTGTGACTTTGATACATAAGGAAATAATTTTGCATTCAACAAGAATGACAGTTTGTCTAAACAGAAAACAGGTTGTTTTCCAAATCCACAAAAATGTTAAACAAATCATTGCTAGATCATGTGCAAGGCCTGTCTTGCAGCTGTTGATGCTGGACCCCTGAAGTAACAGATATTTTGATACATAGAATGGGTGTGGACAGAGGTTACATATTTATATCCCTGTTTCTCACAGCTCAGGGAAAATCTTTGAAAATCTAAAATGTGTGAAGAATTCATGAATGAAACTTAGGAAGATAATTTCAGTGTAAGACTGATCTGTTTGATTTATTGGTTCGTTTCCTTAGTCTTAAAATAATCTAAGTCTAATATAAAGAAACCCCAAACAACCCAGGAATAAACCATAACAAATTGTTTACCACTGGAATGTACAGAAAAATTATCTGAGCGAACCACATTGGTAACAATAACACCTATTTTGTATCAACTGCTTCATAAAACTGCATGGTAACTTGATGGCATACTGCAAACCAGGAAAATCAACACTAAAATGCTTTGTTATTTTGGGTTTTGTGCAAAATGTTAAATGGCTGAAACAAATGACAAACATGGTCATATTTATGCCATCTCCAGAATTTAAAAAAAAATAATTAAGTTATTAGATGGTACATTAAGTGCAAAAACTGCCCCACGTGCTTAGATCTAGCCCTGGCTTTGATTGGGACTGAAGTCATGTTTAGAAATGCATCTCCTTGCTCTCACTCTGAGGACAGTCAGGCACTGGAACAGGGTGCCCAGGGGAGCTGAGCAGGCTCCAGATTTGGAGGTTTGCACCCTGCCCTGAGCACCATGGTCTGAGAGCAGCTAATCCTGCAGCCTGCCCCTGTCCTGAGAGAGGAATGGCATGGGACTACTCCGAGTAAGAACCTACAAGCATTTCTGTTTGGAGGGTCACCATCACTTATTTCTTCAGACAAAGTACCCTCAGCTGGTATCTGATCATTGACAAGCAGGTTTGGTTTGAAAACAGACTGCTAGGACTGAGTTAGACCTTGATACCATCAGCTGTTGATATGTGATTCAGCAAGGACCTTAAAACCAAGAAAACAGACTGAGAAGCATACAAAATTGTACAGCTGCACATCAGGCATCCTTTCCATATAAATGATATAGTAAATATCCTGTGAGAATGACAAAGATCTGCTTTTTGCTGCACCATCACCATGTCTCTATACCAGGAGCAGGACTCCTGCAGGCAGAGGCCCCTGTGCCCCGCTCACTCCTCGAGCACCGAGCGCAGGGCCTGCAGGGCCTCCACGGTCACTCGCAGCTCTCCAAGCACTGCACGGCCGTCCTGGCAATCCAAAACTGGAAAGGAAACAGCAGAGAACAGCAGGAGCCATTTAATTTAAGGTTTCACTTGCGTTCTAATGATTGCCCTGGGTGTTTGGACAGATTAAAAGGCACCTATCATATGCTAAAGAAAAAAAAAGAAAAGAGAAGAAAGAAAGAAATAATAAAGAAACCTTCTCATTCATCCCCTCAGCCTACTAGAAACAAAGGAGTCCAAGAACCAGAATGTACAACAATAGAAGTATTAATGTTGGAATTAACTGTGAAATAAAAAACTATCAGTATAGTAATTGCCTATATAAAATAATGATGTTTCACAATATGTAAATACAGATGTTCCAAACTCTGTTAAAGACATTATATGCATAGTTAGCAATAGTTTTAAGTAAAAATCTAACAATTAATGCATTTGCTACACTGTGTGCCTGATGGTTTTATTATAAGCAAATGAACTTAGTGGAAAACCAGAAGGGGGTGGGGTTTTCTTTTTCATTTAGTTCCAAGGGGTTTTTTTTAAGGTGTATGGTGAAAGCTGTGGGGTGGAGGGTCCTGCCTTTGCAGACTTCTGCAAACAAATGTGGAAGCCATGAGTTAATTAATATTAATATTAATGTTTCAGATTGAAACAATGTCCAACAATTACTTGCACAGTAAGTCTTGCAAGGAAAAGTAGAAATTCAAGGGACAATTTTTAGGCTACAAAAGTCAACAAAAAAGAGCTCTTTAAAACTTACCATCAATGTCTTGCTCAATGATATCTCTTTGCTTCTGGAATATCTCTTTCAAACTGACATAAGCAAAACCAATGTCCTCACACTCAAGGTCCTGCTCGTCTTCTGGGGGATCACTGACCACTGTAAATTTTAGGCTAAACATGAAAAAGCCCCCCCAAAAAACAAACAAACAAACAAAAAAGATATTTTACCTTCAAAAAAGGTTAAAAATCGAATTAAAAACCCATAAAAAAGGCAAACCCACACTATTTTAAAAGTGAATTATATTCAACATTTCCCATTGCAAGAATATTCTGAGATCATTTCTCTGAAATCTTCCCTCCTCCTTTAGGATTATTGAGCAGTACTAAAAGGACAGAGAGGTTGTAACCCCAGAACTGATTCATTTCCCCTCCTGCCCATCACTCCGTGGTACAGTCCTTATCCACATGGCTCTACCAACAACTATACCAAATATTTGCTTTTCTTCTGTGAACTTAAATGACACTTGTTGCATTCAAACAGAGTTTTTCTATGTAACACATAATTGTGTTGTGCTGTGTTAGAGCTGACCTGAGTTAGTGGCTTGTGCTGAGGCCAAAACCACTGGGACTGACAATTTAGAGCTGGAATTTAGACAGGAATTCAGAGCTGACATTTGCTGTGTCAAACTGTGAATGCCTGTGTGCTTCAAAGCCTAAAAATGTTACAGTCAGCATAATTTCAAATGGGTGATGCTCAAATTGTGCAAAATCCAAGTCAGTGGGAAAGGATATCTTATACAAAATATACACAGATTTTCCTAAAGAGATTTTTAACACCTGTCATAGGTTTACTTGTTCCAAAAAAACCCGCTTGAAATGTTTTTTTCCCCTGCACCACTTGTGAAAGGAAGTTGTTGGAGGAGGAAGAATTGCACCAAAAGGTGGAAAGTACTGAACTGTTTCCTTTTTGAAGGAGAATTTTGGGTACAGGATTGTTGTTTAGTTGGTTTTGTGTTCTTTTGTTGTTCTGCCAATACATATATGTAAATATTTGTCACTAAACCCAGAGACCTACTGAAAATGTGTGTTTAAATAAATGGTCTAGAGGCAAAAAAGGGAAAATATCACAGCTATTTTCAACAGGTGGCTCGATTATAATTGATTTAACTTAGGTTTTGACAAGGAGCTAAGCAGAAGCAAAATTGCCAAAACTCAATAAAAAAGAAATACTTAGATGTGTAAGATAAATATTAATATTAATATTTGAAAATTATAATAACAACAACTGATAAAACTGGGTACTGGGAATAGATCTGTTTTGATTCAGTGTCAGTGATCAATCAAATCAATATGGGGAAATCAGCTTGGCACCTAAGACAGTGATAGAAGAGGAGATTAGTGCTGGAATAATTTTTAACTTACCACTATTACTAAAATTTTCAATAAAGCATAAATTAAAAGCAGGTATAGTAACATTTGGGACAGTAACTTACTGCCAAAGGGGAGAATCCTTCATACAGACCCAGCCTGGGGTTCAAATCAAACACAGGTTTTTTACATGACAAGAGCAAGCTCAGCAAACCAGATGCAAATCAGAGTACCTCTATAACCTCTCAGAGTTCCAGGATGATAACACTGGATTAAATGTTTGCTGCTAAGCAGGAAGGAGGAGATTTGCACTCTGGATCCCATGGGAATACTCCAACTGGTGGACTTGTGTGAACGGGACCACAATCACTTGGACTTTTGGAATTTTAAAAAATATTCCGAGCTTGAAGTTTAGGAAAACATTTCAATACGATCTTTGGTATCCCTTAGCTCATCTTCTTTATTTACCAGACACCCTGGGTAGTTATGTCTTGATTTCTGGGGGTTACCTCGAGTAGGACAAGGCCAACCATGAGCCCTGTAAGAGGTTTCCAGCACTGATCTGTACCTGTCAGCAGGTGGATCTGCCTTCAGAAGAATGGACTTGAGATACTCTCTTTCTGCACCATTATGTGCCTTATCCACATTTATCACTGCAAAGGAAATCAAAATGGATATAATTAGTTATCAGTTGGTTTTAACCTTTCACGAGAAAGGGCATGAAGAAAAGAATGAAGAAAAAGAAATGTTTCTTTTGGGCATCTTAGACTAAGAAGGTACCTTCTTTCTTGCAAATTAACTCTGTGGAATAGTATAAAAATTCAGGATGCAAAAACTGAAGAAGTGCTAAAGGAATTACTTTTTTTTTCTTTTAAGAAAAAAATTTGCTAGGACAGAACTTGAATGAATATATATCCCTCTGAGGGACAAACATAGCTCTTTGGAACAGTTTTCATTTGCTTTTGAGGGGAGGAGGAGCCAGAAATGCATCTGTCTTTAAATTCCAACATTTTTACTATTCATTCTCTTCTATTTATTTTAGATCTTTTTAAAACAGTCAGGCAGTTCCAGATATAGATAATATAAAATGTTTTATTTATTAAAGGAATTAGTAATTTTTAGATAATTTATGGCTTTACCCTGATTTTCTCCACACAAAGGTCTAAAAGACTATTAGTTTCCTTCTAAGCTCAAAGTAAATTTCTTTCTACCCATGCAAATCTTATTTTTATTTAAGAAAACATTCAATTAACCTCCAATATTCAGCATGCTCAAATCTAATTAGACATGACTGGAAGATGCAGTAAAACTGTAGCAAACACAGATGCAGATTTCATTACTATAATCTTACTGCAGTTTTATTTTCTATTCATGATAATTTTGCTGCATTTCATTAGTTTAATTTTGCAGAGTTGATACTTAAACAACTAATATGCTCAGACTGTAGCTGATATACACAGGAATCAGAATATTGTCTAAGAACTTTTATACCTTCTAAAAGCTTCTTATATTCCAAGCAATGAGAGTTCCTGAAGCAAGAGAAATTAAAAGCATTTAAAAGCTTTAGCCAATAGTTTATGAGGTACTTACTTACTAAGTAAGGAAATTCCTTGGCAAGTTACAGCTCAAATCAGGTTGGTAGATGGTAGCAGTTTTAAAGATCTGACTGTGACACCACTTCTGCAAAGCCACTTTTACAAAATTATTTAAAAAAAAAATGTTTAATTTGAATGTCTGTATTAATGATTTGTCAAAAATAGCAAACTCATTCACCTGCTCCAGGAGATTGTCACCTAAAAGTCCAAGACAACATGAAGCACTCAGACTGAATCTTAATTGAAATAGACTTTAACAGGAAAGAAAAAGTTAATGAATAATTGAAATACTAAGAAATAGCTGGGAAAATCATTAACAAGAGAATTATCAATTATTACAATAGTTCTATGTATGCCAGTAGTGTAAATATAAAGTATTATGAAATGATTAGCAATGTATTAGTATTAAACATGGGTGAATAGTTTCCCATATTAAAAAGTTGTTTTTAGTATTTGCAAGTGATGATCAAGTCCAATTACATATTCTCTTTTCAACTGTATTTTAGTTGTATGTGGTTAGACAGAATGTTTTTCTTTTGCTGTATCATCATGTAAATTGAAAAATTAGTTCATCATGCTCTTTTAAAAAGAATATATAAATTTGTTGGGCATACTCTAATTTTAAAATTGACATGCTACCAGCATATTTAAATATATTGTCATGTTACTATTTCATGCACGAGCCTACTTCAGTATTTCATTTTGTACTGGAGAACTGCATCTTTGCCTCATTTCTTAAAAACCACCATTAATATTTCCTAAAATATTTGGAAAGCAGACCAATGCAGTGGGCACACAGCTGACCAAACTGTCGTGGGCAGGAAGGAGGTTTCACTGCAGGCATTTCAGGGAACCTGCCTGCTCAGGACACCTGCCACTCACCAGTGCTGTAGTTATAGTGAATCCTCTGCCCAGCCCTGGGCTTGGGGAGTGACAGGGGGGTCTCCTCTGCCAGGAAATGGTTTAATCTGCACTCCACAAACAGCTGCTGGATTGTGTCATCCGAGGTAATGCGGGACTCACTCAGACCAAGGGAGGTGATTTTAATCCGGATTTTTTCCGCTTCCTGTTTCAAAACAAAACGCAAACATAACCCCAAATTAACCCCCACCAACATTCATACATGTAAACCATCAGCTGTTTTGTCTCATTAATGCTGACTGGCTGATTTTTACATATACACAAGGAGAAGCCAAAGCCCCAGGGTTTGTACTGAAGACTGTTGTTGCAAGAGATGCTGATTTCTGTCTGATGTTTAAAATATTTCTGCAATAGCCACAGTCTGCTGGAGATTAGGTTATCTTTATGTACAAATATTGCCTGAAGCAGAAATTTCAGCTGTCATCATTTTTAGCTACACAGCCAACTGATCTTGTAACTGCTTAAAACAGTTGCAGTGATACTGGGGACGAAAGTTTTCCAGATGAAAGAGAATTGTTAGTACCTCCTGCAGTTCAATAAAAATCCATCAAGTCACAAATTGTTAGGCATGTAAAGTAACAATGTATTTGCAAGGAACTGAATGTCAAATACTGAACTTTCCCAGGTAAATCTAACATACCTTTACAAGTTGTTGAAGAACAATTGGGATATTACTTTTATTACCATATTGTTAATTTTAACAGTCTTTTTTTATTGTCTTTAAGTGAAGTTACATTTTTCTGTTCCTTATGTGAAATTTTCATACTGTTCTGCAAAGTCTGGAGTATTTGTGTGCAGATAACTTTTAATAAGTTTGATGTATTTCAGTGGGAATGTCAGACTCAAGAGAAAGAATCACAAGCAGTGCCCTGGTTAACTCTGTAATTCAAAGAAAGAAAAGCCACTGTGGTATCAAAGTTGGAATACCCAGGTGAGCATCAAAGATGACATTCTTCAGAGAGCAAACAGAACCTGCTGGAGTACAGAAATGTCAAAGAATGGTTTTTACTTCTTTCTTTTCAGGTTCATAACTTCATTAGAAATATTTCCCCTATACTGAAGTATTTTGACAACTTTTGATTGTAAACTTAAATCACTTGAAGGACTAAACCATATTCAAAAGATTAGCTTCCTAGACTCTGTCAGAACTGCAAATCAATATTCTTATTTATTATGGAGATAGCTTACATTTTTCCAAGCAAATTATATAATTAAACTGAAAAGCAGGTATATCCTATTGTAAAAATATCCATTATGGAGAACACTTTCCATTGCTGTCAAGTTCTTTCAGTATTTGTTGAAGAATTTTACCCTCTTCTTTCCAAACATTTCCTTTTATTATGTATCTTAAGCCACTTCAACTAAAACCCCAAATCTGATTATTTTAATAAGGTTATTTTACTACTCAGTTGATTAATGGAAATTTAACTAGGATGACAGAAAAAATTCCCCCCCATTCTGTCTCCACTACTCCAGCTGGCAATATTACTGGGATAGGCACAGAAGGATGAAAGAGTTAAAGGAATTCTTTGCCTAAAATCTAGTAAGTCAAATGACTGCCAAGGATCATTAAAGTGATGGTCCTTGACTTGAATTATGGTTTTCATATTCAAATTTGTAAATAAAATGAAACAAAATGAAGTATTCTGTGATTAATCCTACATCATAGGAAGAAGAAGCAAATGGTACAGCCAGGCACTGGCAAATCTGTTAGATATCCCTGGTGATTAATGTAAGAAATAACCATGAACTGTCTAATTTGCAACATGCAAAAAACCCCCAGTATGATCTTAAATGGCTTAAACAGTTTGGCAGATTTACAGGATAATTAGCACAATGATTTCTAAAAATCACAAAATGTATTTACACTATTTGATTACCAGAAGGGTAATTATCTTAAAAGATAAAAAACAGTAATTTTTAATCTTTAAAAAAAACCCCCAAATTCAATAACAATTCTGACATGCCATATTCTGTAACTAGCTCAAGAATTCAAATAAACCAATGCATGCTTTTAAAATCCAACTTGTATCAAATGTGTTGCCTTAGTAGTTTATAGCTTTTATTATTTTATCTACCCTTCATGAACAGGCCCTTTGTTACCAGAGGAACAGACCAGTGGAGAAAGGCAGAAACAGATGAACCTGAAATGAATCTACACACAAAATTGTCTCAGAAATTCTCATTATTTCTTAAATAATTTTGATAAAATAAAATACAGGATGACTAGAAAAGTACAAAGCAACTGTATTACAGTTTGAATTAATACTGATAAGTAGCAGTCCTTTTAGTTCTCAAAATTACAGATGAAAATTTTTTAACGTTTTACATATAAATAATTCAAGCTTCAAAAGTACCTTCTGTATCTTAAGAACATAGAAGTGACAGCATTTCTACACCTCTGTGTAGCTGAAGATGTGTAACAGCTTTTAAGATGTACCTTTTACAGCTGAAAGAAAAGGGCCAATATTTCTCACACGTGTTTCTTGTTGCTAGTTACTTTGTAAGATGTCCCAGAACCTTGAAAAGAGCACTTCAAAAAATTGAATTACCTCTAGGATATCCCACTGCAGAACACTAAAAATGGTTAAAAGTGACTGGATATAAAATTACACCCCTGGTCCTTTAAAAGAAGGTCTACTTGTTCTAAAACTCCCTGAGGAGAGCAAGCCCTCTCAAACAGCCCTCTTCTGGTAGTGGAGGAGAGCATATTAACAGGCATTATAAACTGGAGTCCCAATTTGCTGAGGAAATGGCAATAAACACAACAATAACAGTAAAAGATTGTACAACAAAGGCAAGATGTCACTATTTTGTGTATTATGACTTCATGTCCTGAATTGCTGGTTTCAAGAAGTCAAGAGGTTGGATACTCTGCATGTACAACTTCACTGAAAACTGAGGTTAGTAGAGCAAAGCTGCTCCTAGAGGACATTAGGCTTGAACTATTTCTCTTAGTCTTACCAAATTGCCATATGTACTCTGATTCAGCTGTTTAATATTTGTGGATACTGGACTTGAAATGATACAGTCATCACTGTCAGTTTTTATTGATTCAACAGCATCATCCTCTTGTCTATCATCTTGATCTGAAAAAAAAAAATCAATGTAGCTAAAACCTTTATTTTAGACAATCTGAGACTTGCTGAGAAATCTGATAGTAATACATTTCCTTTTCTAATAAATAAAGAATTAAGTGCCAGGTAAATCTTCTCTTCATTGCAGAAGATTAACACTGCAAATCAATGACCTTTAGAGTCACAGAAACTGTATTTTTTTCCTGGTTTGTTAAAAAAATAGTAATATTTCCCAGATGAAAGGTGGCAAATAGAATGACATAAGTCCTGTGATGAACTGGGGTATGAACAACTGTCAGCTTTATATAAGAATGTGGCCTGAATTTGTGGATTTCCTCTGACTTCCTTTAAAACCATGCACATGTAAAAGAAGAATGCATCTTTTTTTTTTTTTAATAAAAAAGTAATTCTGTATGCAGATGGATTATTTTCTAGAGCATTCAGGGTTTTTTTTTCTCTGAAGCAAATTACTTATAATAAAGACAACATCACGTTTTTCCAGTCTTTCTAAGGAATTCTTATGCAGAAGCTGAAAACAATTAAACATAAAATTTTAGCATTCTGCTTGTGCTTTTACTTTTAACTTGGTAATGTGGACTTGGTTTATTTCAATACTAAACAGTTTAAGCTCAGAGGTGGAAGAGGATTATATAATCTTTAAAAAAATCTTAAATAAATTATATAATCTGAAATAAATCTTTATAGCTTATATAATCTTTAAATAAATGTGCCTCTAACACCTTTAAGTTACAGATGTGATAAGGCATACCACTCCTCTCACTGCCTGAAAGGATTTCTGAGACCAGCATTGGCTCTTACCTGCACACAAAAGGAGCATATTCATTAAAACACTCTTTAGAAGAGCCTATTTCTAAGGGAGAATATAAATATCCTTTAATATTTTATGAATCTAGGTAAGATACCAGATTTTTGCAATCAACTACAATACAGTTTCCATTTGGGAAGATCATCCACCACCCAGCTCCAGCTTGTAAAGCACCCCAGAATCTCAGTTTCTCATAATGAGGCAGCTCCCATTGCTAGTAAGAAATGCTTATGAAAATGGAAAGAGCCAAAATTTCTAAAATACAGCTACTTATTAACAAAAACGAATTCTACCTTCTGGTTCCAGTTCTTCAATGACTTCTGTCTCATCTGCAGAAGGAGCTGATGTTTGCTCAGGTAACTGCTGCTCAGGGAGATGGGAGAGCTCTTCTTTTCCCTGTTGAATTCCTTCAGCCACCTCCTTCCCCTGATCCTCTGATGGCTGTTTGACCTCCTGCACCACATGCTGTAGGAAAAAATACACTTACAGTCTGTCTAACATTCCTTGAATAGTAAAAGCTACTAAAGTTCAAAACTTGAAGAGTTGTGGCCCACATTCATTATCCACAGCCTTTAAACAATTGTGTTGCTTATGCAATGCAGGGCAAAAGAAGGTGTCAGCTGCAGGAACATATAATTGATACAGCAGAAAGACAGTTCTCCAACTATGTGTATTTGTGGAAACATAACAATTATAATCATTTTGTACCTGTCAATGTATATACAGCCTGTTAAGATTTCCAGGTTCATTTATATTTCATCTTGTCCTACAAGTTCTACACTGATCACCGTAACTGGTCTGCTCTGGCCTCCACCCAGGAGCTCTGGAGACACCCCATCTCTAACGCAGCTGTCTCCTTTGAGAACGCAGCAGGATCACCCTTGAGGAGAAAAGACAGCGCAGAAAGAACCGTGCCTTGCAGAATTTACCTCCTAAGGAGTCTTTCTGCTGTGCCTTTTGCAACCAGACGTGTCTGTCTCGTATTGGCCTCTTTAGCCACCGGTGTGCTTGTGACAAACGTGGGCAGAGCCCTCCCCAAACCTTCGTTCACGAACCCGGCCATGATGACGCCCGAGTAGAGCAGCACCACTGTGAACTGCAGCCCAAGTGGAACTGTCCCATTCCTATGGCACTTTGGGACAAAAAGCCAGACTTGGGTTATATGGCCAGGATGGAAACTCACTGAGACCAACGTCGATCACCTTGCAGCCCTATGACCAGTGGTCCTGAGTGAGGCCCTCTGAGCTCTCCTGCACCCTCCTCCTGGCTGCTCCAGCACCTCCCTCTAAGTGGGGCCTCTCAGAGCTCACAAACCCCCCAAAGACCACTGCTGACACCACACAGCTCCACACTCCTCGAGGTGCATCCCTTGCCAGTCGGGAAACACAAAGGGATTTGCTGTGAGTAGTTCACTGAACCCCAGGGGAACTTTTGACAGGTAACTTTACACATACAGAAACAGGCCTGCACATAATTTTACCTCTGTGTGTGTGAACTGATTTTGGTATGGATGTTACTATCTCAAATCTATAGTTAAGTCATTGTTATAATTGCAGTGAACCCTTTGGAATTGCCTTGTAAATGTTAAAAGTACTTCCATGTTATTTTCAACAACAGAGCCCCAAGTTATGAATAAAATAAGAGGAAGCCTTTAATATATAGTAGACAATTAATACACAAAAGTAGGTATAAATTTACTGGAGAAGCATTTGGACAGGGGGTTATGTCCTCCTTGGCCTCCCTGCATTATCATTACTGGTTCTACCCCTGCTGTAGCTTCTGTGTATGAGGCTGGACAATTCTTACAGCAGTTTTGGGGAGTCAAATCTTTTTAGCCAGTTTCCTTTTCTGAAAACAATTATTTGCTTTGGCATGTATCACATTAATAAGAACCTCAATCAAGAATTAGATTCTTTGCTATTCAGAAAATGAACTGGAAAATGAAACAGGCTGTTCCTGTTTTAATCTGCTGAACTAATTCTCTTGCAGGGACACTCTCTTGCCATTTCACCCCAAGATCTGGACATCTGAGAAGGCCCAGCTATTTCATTATTTAGGTCTAACAGTACTTTTGTCTCTAGCCAGATGGTGAGACTTAGATTTTTAAAACAGCTAGGGGAGGTGCCCACCCTGATGGAAACCAAGTAGCTGTCTCCCTTGGAAAATCCCAGTTTGTGAAAAATTGAACTTTGAAAAGTGACTGTTTGGACAGCTGAAGATACACTGTGTGTGTGACTATCCAGCTAACATTTCAGTTTTTCTTATCTTAACTCTCAGAAGATTTTATTCACCAACATTTGCCTTTTTGGTTTTTTATAAAGTTAATAAGTGCAACAGATTGACTTAATTATTATTTCCAGTTTATACTGTATAGCTCACAAGAAAGTTCTATTCATAGTAAACTAAACAACAGCAGAATCTGTTAATTGAAAACTGATGTTAACATTTCAAAAATAAATCAAGGCATTTATGAAAGGAAAACTTATCACAGCTAGCTTTTAATTAATGCAACACAATATTATTATTATTATTATTATTATTATTACGTAATATTAATACTCATAACCTTTTAAAATTACCTGTTGAAAAACTTTCCTTTACTTAGTGGATTTAATTAAAAGACTAAAGACAGCCTATTCTTAGTTCTCTGAAGACAAATTATTTCAGATCAAATGAAAATGTACAGTATGCAGCAGAGATGTTTGAGTTAGTTCCACACAGACTCTCCCAGACTCTGGAAGGATGTGCAGATGACAGTGTATCCCACATTTAGCAGTGTAATTGTTTTCACAGCGTGTGCAATCTCGGCTGATAAATCTCATTTAAAGGGTGACTCTGAACTGTCCCCTATTGCACCTCATTGGCACAACCCTCAGGAGCTGTTTGGACCATGCTTGGTTCCTCCAGAGCCATTTCTGTGCTGGTGCAAGGGGTGCACTGTGCAAAGACACTTTAATGATGCAGAGAGCTGAAAACACAGTGCAGAGGGACTGGATTGGTCCTGATGGAATTTGCCCTAAGCCTGTGCAAGCTGAAGCTTGTGAAGTGTGGAGCACATCAGGCAATTCTGAGGGTGTCACACAAATATCCCTGCACTGTATTCCCCACCTGTATGCAGTACTGTGCTGTCACTCATTGCCTGGGACAAGCCAGGCTTGTGCTGTTAAAATAATCAAGTGTTCCTGATTATTAGTTCTACACATTGTCCATACTGAGCCATAAGTAGCCTTTCAGGCTTCAACAGGTGTGACAAAAATAATCAGGACTTACTGCTCCCTGTCTTGTACTGAGATCCAGAAAAGAGACTCTCCTGTCTGCTTGTGCTGCTCGCTGCCTCCGCCTGGGGGTTGGTTTCTGTCACAAAACAAACACAGGAAGACCATTTACTGCCATAGTCTAACCATCTTATACTGCAGTAAATGAGGAGAGACCCTGATCTGTCTCAAAGCCAAGTCCAATGGCACTAAATTCAATTCTAAATGGATGAGATGATTTATCAGAACTCATACATGACACACTTCTCAGGTTGCATCATGGAACCCATTGAGATTGTCATATAATATAAACTTACATTATGAAATAATATAAAACATTAAAGTTACTCCAGACCTAGAGTAATTTAAACAGCTTAGATTAAAAAAAGCCCATTAAAAACTCTAGTGTTTAATACATTTCCACCTGATAGCTTTTATTTCTTAATCAACTGTTATGTTTGGAAGTCCCTTCTTTTTCTGTGACTCTTATTTTAACTTGATTGTGCTGTGCATTATATTACCAAAATTCTCTTCAATATCCAGAAAAAAACCCAATAAAAAACCCAAAGTGAAGTAATATCATAATACTCAAACATTTCTGAGTATTTTCTCAGAGACTTTTCTGAACAACCCATTCTAGTGATCTGACACCTAGTTGGTTTAACATTCATGAATCTTGTACTAGAATAACATGTTCACAAAATCTGTCACGGCTTAAAAAAATTAAATATAATACTTTCAAATGTTCTGATGACAATTTCAGTAAAAATAAATAATTGAATTTCAGACTTTGCCTCTTTGGGAAAGGTATAATTCAACTGGTTCTTGATCTCTTTATATGAAAAACCTGTCATTCAACTGCTGTTTTCCAGTTCAAGAACCTTTAACTCCATTAACTTTCAACACATCAAGACTTGAATTAAACTATGTGAACTGAAAAAGAAAATTAGGTCACCCTAAAGCTTCTCTTCTCCATGAAGTAATTCTCTCTATGAAGTAGAGACCCAAACATACCTGGGATGGTTGTTCATGTTCCCTAAAACTGGATGTCTGTTTGTAAGGAATAATGGCTTGATCCATAGGAACTTGTAACCTGACCCAGTATTCGATGGTACCGTAATTCTGAACATGTCCTGGTTTTCCTAAGGAATAAATATGGGATTGCATTAATTCTCATTTCAAAAATAAAGCCCTTTAGTAAAAAGCTAGGAAGCCCCACAAATTAGAGATTGGCTGACTTGTGCCTGTGCATTATGACAGTGTTTGTGACAAGAGATCTGTAGCTCATGTTAGAAACAGAAACAACAGCTCCTCTGGCTCCACATGTATGATCCAAAAATCAAAATATGACTTTTTCATACTGGAATCTGCAATACTTATTGTGCAAGCTGTAGAGTGAGTTCAAGTCAAGTTCATTATTTTAATCTCTTCAAAGCAAATAAACCTTAGGACAGTTTTGTATGTCAACAGTTGGAAGTGTCCCAAAAAGTGGTATGTAATTTAAATTACTGGCAAAAGTATCACTTTATAAGGGCTTTTTAAACCAGATTCTTTACAAAAGTGGGCAGTTAGAGCTCACTGAATATGCTGATCTGACATTTTTAAAAGTAAAAGCAAGCAGCACAGAACATTCAATACTTCTTAAGAGTGTCTTGGCCAGGATACCTTAAAATTATTTTTAAATTAGGCACAATTTTGAAATAATGCACAAAATGTAAACCAACATCCCCACAGATTATTCATATAATATATGAAATATTATTAACCATAATCTCCATAGTTTGCACCTTTTTGATGCTTTACAACTATTATATGAAGACCTTTGTCCTCCCAGTTTAAATTACACCGTTTCTTCATTTATTGATAAGGATATATTGATGACATTTGGGCCAGATAGAAAGCCCTGATATTTGATATGGGTGAAGTGGGGGTCCCTCCCAGTTTGGTTTTTTTTCCCCCCCTTTTACCCTAAGCCATTATGAGCAAAGCTGCACCTGCAATAATTAAGACTTGCAAATTCAGCAAGCAACAAAGCCAGCCTGTGCATAGGGAACTGAACATAAAATTTGGTGGTGTTGAAAGCATTGTTTGAAAAAAACCCGAGGTCCCAATGAATATAATTGTAGAACATGCTGCACATCCCACAGAAAGCAGCCTTCTGTAGAAAGCAGCCTCCTGTAGAAAGCAGCCTTCTGTAGAAAGCAGCCTCCTGCAGAAAGCAGCCTCCTGTAGAAAGCAGCCTTCCGTAGAAAGCAGCCTCCTGCAGAAAGCAGCCTCCTGCAGAAAGCAGCCTCCTGCAGAAAGCAGCCTCCTGCAGAAAGCAGCCTCCTGTAGAAAGCAGCCTCCTGCAGAAAGCAGCCTCCTGCAGAAAGCAGCCTTCTGTAGAAACCAGCCTTCTGTAGAAAGCAGCCTTCTGTAGAAACCTCGGGTTTTTCTCCTTTGGAACTAGTAATACGCAAATTCAATTTTTGCCCAAATGCACACGGCTCCCACTTACAGCAGGGCATCAGCTAGAACACTCTGTGCCATTTGAGTTACCAACTAAATGTGCTGTGCTGTAGATCCTCCCATTGCTGTGCAGGACCTGCTGGCAGCTGAGGTGGCAGGCGGCGAGGGTCTGGTACTCGACGCCGCAGGCGCGGTGCAGCTCCAGGGGGACGCTGCTGTGCTGGAGGTAGTGGCAGAAGGTGTCGTCAGCCTGCACCAGGTACTGAGAGGTGAAGTCATAGCACGGGGCACCCCCACGCACTACTGGGCTTATCTGAAGTTCAAAGTCATAGAAGGCATAAGTACAGAAGGTTGCGGGCTCCTGGTCACCGAAAGCGTGCATGGCTTCAGGAGAGAAGATCACTTTGCTGATATGAATTTCAAGAAGGTTCTCTCCCTTCTCTAAATGAATAGTTTCAACAAATCCATCCATGGGATCACCTGGTGATATTTCTGGTCTGGACTTAGGTGATTTTGCATCGTAGACGATATCTCTTAGTTGGGCTGCAACAGATAAAATAGAGCTATAATATGACTGTCTTTTTTAAAAATCAAATATAATTAATGGCTGAGTAGAAAGGATAAAAGCCTAACTCAGTTCTATGAACAATGTTACTTTCTTAAAGGCACTACCGAAAAGAAGAAATCACACTTTAAATCATACATCTAATGCTCACTGAGAACACTGACAACAATCAAGAGCATTTCTCAGTGGCCCTGCTTCAGTATACATAAAAATAGACACAGGCCCCTAACAGTTATTATCAGGTTATAAAGGAGTTAAAAAGCAAGAATTCAGAAGTTTGATGCACTGTTCAAAATAACTATCACTGTGCAAATGTACCAGAGATTTAAGATGCATGTTTTTGTAGGGAAAGAAACCATACATCTGACTTTTAACATGTGTTAAATCTTGAGTGGGTAGAACTCTCAGCCAAACCCTCCCATGTTGCCCAGCTTCGGGTGGTCAGTGGTTACCATGTGGCTAACAAAGGCCAGAGAGGGCTCTGAGCAGCCTGGGCCAGTGGCAGGTGTTCAAGATCAGTCCCAAACCAAGCTGTTCTAAGATTCTGTGACTCTGTGAAATCAAAATAGGTGCTTACAGAGCCAGGACATAAACCATGATGTGGGGGATGCAACTTGGAAGACAAAACATGAGAATTGTTACAACATCAGGGTTTGCAAGATTTTCTATTTCAGGCTTCTTATGCACCTTTTTACACAGTGAAGTCATTAAAAAACTATTTGAAATTCATCCTGTTGAAATAATATGTCAGTATATTATAACATGACTTCAGGGTTTTTAGCAACAGGAAGTGATTCTGTAATGACAGGGCTGCAAAACAAAAGGCTGACCATAAACATATGATTTACTTAAAAAAATAAAGTCTGGTAATTTTATTCTTATTCAGCAATAGCTGCAGCATAATCTGCTTTGTTGGATTTTGTTTGATTAGTAACTGTCATTGAAGTCAATAAAATAGTACACAGATAATTTTCCATGAAAGAACTAACCTTTCTACCAGTTTTAGGAATGGAAAAGTGTTTCAAGTGAAGAACAGATTTACAACAGTAATTTACAAGAGATAAAATATTAAAAAAAAAATTAGAGAAGAATCATATAATGTGGTGGGTTGGAAAGGACTCATCAGGATCCCTGAGTCCAATAAAGATACCTTCTAGTTTTCTGATCCGGGCAGCTCTGATATCAAGAAGGTGGGCATCCTGTTCCAGTTTGAACTCGTACTCTTTCTGTATCCTTTCCATCTTTTTAGTCATTGTTTCTACTTCAGTCTGAAAAAAAAATTCATGTAAAAATGACTTTTGAGGCTTGTCTGCACTGATATTGCAAATGCTTCTGGCAACAAATTAAAACAGAGTTAGATTTGAGGTAAAAACATTTACAGCACCCAAAAATGCAGCAGTTTTTAATACATCAATGCAGCAATCAGTTCTAATTTCAGCAAAATCTAAACACATTATTCAGAAAAACAGAGTAGCTGTTCTTTCAGGACAATGTTCCTAACAGTTTCTTTAATAAGTCTGTTATTTTAAACTTAAAGTAATCGAATGAGAAGTCAAAATATGATCTGCAATAATCCCACAGAAGAGAGTGAAAGCAGAAAGGGAAGCTTATCAGATAAGCACAGTTACTGTCTTACCTGTGAGGAGCTGATAAGAGCTCAGAGATAATGCCAAGAAAGCACAGCTTGAGGGCTCTGATCAGGAGGAGTTAAAAGACTACAATTATATTCATTGGGACCTCAGGTTTTTTTCAAACAATGCTTTCAACACCACCAAATTTTATGTTCAGTTCCCTATGCACAGGCTGGCTTTGTTGCTTGCTGAATTTGCAAGTCTTAATTATTGCAGGTGTCAAAGCCACAAATGTTAAAATGCCATTATCAGGTTATTTTCCACTGTAAGCAGAGTTTAGTACCTGGTAATCTTTGCTAATTTTGTGCTGCATAATTAACATATTCCTTGTCTTTTCAAGTTCTTGCACTGTTTCTGCATGTGTTAACTGCAGCTCCCTTATGGAGTGTTCTGAATCTTTATGGATCTCATCTTCTGGTTTTTCCAAAAACAGAGGGTCCCCGTTCTTCTGCTGCTTTCGATCCTGGAGCAAGTTCAAAAAAATTACCAGAACAAACTTGTGCAAAAGCTTTGGACCTATTTGTGCCTGACTAAATGCAACACTGGGATATACTTGTGGTAAAACAAGAAGACAGTCAGCAGAACTTCATAAATTTTGAGCACACAAAAATAGGAACGAGGTAGACTAGAAAGTGTCAGGGTTGTGTTAAGCAATGTAATCTTTTGATTACCAGGCACCAATTAAAGCACATCAGCTATTCAGAAGCAATCACTCCTGTCTATCCAATGAAGATACAAACTTGTTCATATATTTGCCTTTTATATAATTAATAATCCTGCTTCAGTGAATGTATAAAATCTGAATTATTATTCTCAAGTCTACATTACTTCTGTTATTAATGCTGGGGTTTTAATTTTCATCGAGGGGTTTTTGGTGGTTTTTTTTCTTTCTTTTTTTCATTATCCTTATATAATTATCATTTGCATTTCTGTTGCAGAAAAAGATTATATTTACAGTAAACACTTCCTCAAGAAAATAAAATGTAAGTCACTCAGTGGAAACTTGCTGCAAATTTTCTGAGTATTTTTGGTTTTCTGTTTCAATAAACAGAGAGAAGTTGCTAAGCATTGCTGTGTCACACATTAGAACTTCCCTGCTTATGGTCTGCTCGCAGAAATTACACAATTAGTGAACAAAACTGCTTTTAACAAACATTATAGGAAGAACAAAATGGCCTGATAAGTCGTTTAACTGAGAAAAACGGTTGTGAATCTGATTTAAAATAATAGAATTAATGCAAAATATAGACTGCTAGATGGTTTGCACTGGAAGGGATCCTACAGATCATCTAGTTCCTCATAGGCTCATGCTCTGTAAATTACCTTTATAAGCAAGAGAGCTTCATTGAGTTCTGCCACATCAACATCACCTTCCTGAAACTTAAGGGAAAGATGGCATCAGATGGGAATCAAAGAAATACATTCTCACTAGACATGCCACTTTGCTTGACAGCATGAATAACCAAACACTTCTATTTCTGCATTCTTTTATTTCCAGGAAGTATTCATGCTATGCATAAAACATAGAGGGTTTTTTTTGCCTCATATTCTAAACAGAAATAGAGTTCACCTTGGTCAAAAACTTCACTTGATTTTTCAGATCATCTAGTTGTTCCTTTTGTTCCAGGTAACATAACTGCAGGTCCTTGTTGTCTTGCATCAGCTTTTCCTTTTGGTCTTAATATGGAAGAAGAAAATATTAAGCTTAATTCAGCATAGCTAAAAAAAATTAAACTGGCTTTTTTCATATTAATAGATGCATGAAAACTTAATTTCAAAATGCAGAACCGAACGTACTTTGTCTGAGGCAATCTTTGGGTGCTGGTTCCTGCCAGGCCAGGGTTCATTTCTGCAGCAGGCAGGAGGTGCATGGCCAGGACCCTGAGGTTATTCTGTGCCACCTCCTGGCCCTGCTGGGCACGCAGGAAGGGGGTTTCTCCCAGGACATGGTCGGGATTGTGGGGGTCCTCTGTGGGGAGCACAGGTGGGAATCATTGACCTCTTGGACCCCAGCATTAATATTGGGGTTGTTGCTGTTTGTTTTCTTGTCCCACTGCTGTTTCCAGTAAATTGTTCTTCTCTCAACCTGTGATCTTGGCCTTTTGTGCCTCCAATTCTCCTCTCCAGGGGAGGGGAAGGGGGAGAGGGGAGCCAGCAGCACATGGCTTGGACGGTTTGGTGGGAACACTAAATTGGGGAATAGCATTCCTAAAACACCACATTTGGTATTAACCATCACACAGACAGGAACAGAAAGCTATTCCTCTTTAATACATCTCATACATGGAAGGATTAAAAAAAGGGAACCTACAGTGTCAAAAATCTACACTTTTTCTATTTCTAAATTGAGAGGTAATGCCTGACTAAGTACAGCTTTCTGTTTTGGGGGAGGAAGGGAAGAGGGGAACAGAGAGGATATAAAATTCTTTGTCAATCTGAATGAATTTGAATTCATCTGGAAACAGGAGGCTGAGATGCTGGTCTCAAGGGTCCTGAGATGTTCCAAGGCTTGTTTTAATTTTCCAGTGTTTCTATATTGACATCTTTACTAAAAATGAAACACCTGTAATGCCATTGCTCTTATACTCAGTAGCCTGACACGTGTGAGGATTCTGCACAAGAGTCACTTTGAATTCAGACACACAGTCACCAAAGCAAGGTTTTAATTCTATACAGTTATTGAGGAAAATGCAATGCATTTGAAAATGTAATTAGAAACACTAAGGGCTAAACCAAACAAGAGAACAGTTAAAATAAGCCTTGTGAATGGCCAGAGAAGATAGCAATTGAGGCCTCCAGATCCTCCCAGATAACAAACCTGAAAGATCTGTATCTGTTTGGAGATCTCCCACAGAGAGAAATGGCCCCTTATGTTGATAATGTTTCTTTTCCCTGTAATATAAACTGAGATCTGAACTGGCACTTTTTCCAAGGATGAGACAAGATATCCCCCTCCTCAAGCAATTCTGTCTCACCATGGATTTTCTGGTAACAGCAACAAGCTCAGTCCACTCTTTTTCTAACATGAACTCCAGTTTTTGTACACATTTGTAATATTCATTCACACTTGCTGCTCAAAACACTAACTTCAAAATTGTGAACAGCCTGTTGAGAATCTGGAGAGGCACCTTTTAAAAATACACATTTGAAGAATCACCTCTAAACTAAATATTTTCAATTCCTCCTGCCTGTGCTCTTCTTTTGTAAACCTTATATTGCTACAGGATATCACAGTGTTGAGATAAAAAAAGAAAAGATTGGAAGCTCTTAAAAATATTCACCAGAACTTGTCCTACAGCATGGGAAAAACACATGAAATAATCTGTTCAGCAGATTATAAGAAAACTGTGTTATTGCAAATGTACAAAGCTGTAAATAAAAATTAGTATATACTGAAAATATTAAAAAATTCTGAATTAATAAAATTAAAAGACAATTAAACATCACCAGGGGCCAATAACTTTGTACAGTAAACAGAAGAGTGGTTTATAACTTGAGAGAGACTGTCAGATAAGCCTCTTTTCTGTAAGAAATACTGAATAAAGAGTAATTATTAACCAAACAAATGAAGAATGAATACAGCTGAAATTATATGAGCCTCATTCAGCACATAATATGTATTGGGTCAATTTTTGTATTTAATAAATAGTCATAACATACTCATATTGAGCAAATGTACACTTAAAAGGCAGCTTTGAAACCACCACCAACAGAAACTACCCTTTTCTGGGCAGAATACCTCAACTGCAGTCTCATGTCTTGAGAAAATAATGTATTTTTCAGAAACATACCCCTTTCTACTTTAATCTTGTCAAGGATTTCATTTTTGTCTGCTAAATCAGACTTGATAGCTGTCTCTAGCTTGGCAATCTGCAGTTTCAGCTGCTGCTCCTTTGATTTCCACTGCTGGTCGTAGGGCAGGCTGAAGACACTGATAAAACACATGGGGCAGGAACCAACAGTGAAATGGGAGTGTGTGGAAAGGCAGGTCATTTCATGTAAAAGAAAAGCAATATTGTAGATGACTGTGTTATAACAGAAACATAAATTCATCTGGTTAAACATCTTCTTAATTTATCTCACCGTGATTTATGGAGAACAAAAAGACTGGAAGTTGATTTGTTAGTAAGAGTGATTTTTCTCCATGATGATAGAGGAGAAAAAAAAAATGATCATCAGAAATATTTATAACATGATCAAACTTTGGAGAAATCCACAATTAACTTGAGAGACAACTCATCAACTACCTCTATAAAAAACCTAAATATTGTGATTATACAACTGTTATAAGGAAAAAAATGTTTTATTTGTAATCAGTTTTTTACTGCCTTAACTTTTAATTTCATCACAGACAGTACAAGAGGTGTAACAGATATTGTAAGAATACTATAAACAAAATTTGATATCACTCACATTGTGTTCAGTCATTGGTATTTTTTGGACAGACATCACACTGACAAGCCAAACACTTTTAAAGGAGAAATAATTTCGATACGAGAAAAGACTTCAAGCATTTTACCTGCTTTCTGAGGCAATTCTTAGCTCTAGGACATGTGTCTTATTTTCTAAACCTCTTTAAGTGTAAAAAAAAAATCACATAGTTTTACAATAAAGGTTTATTTGAAGGTCATTTTAATATGCTTGTGGCAATGGACTAGAGTGACTTCTTTTCTTTACCAATAGCTGTGAAATGGTAGCTATTACCAAAACAAACTAACCACCTCTCAAAAATAAACATTGGAGAAGCTCTCAAATATCAGACTTTCTGTAAGTTCACTGAGAAGTGCTGGAAGAACATACAAAAAGTTCAAACACCCCTTTGTTAAAAAAAACCAAACCAAAATTAAAAAGGAACAATCCCAAAGGCCAAAACAACCCTAATGGAATATATGTCTACCTGGATGTATTCTTTCAATAATAACTCTAAAGAAAATTATTAGAAATAATAAAGAACTTCTTGTGTTTATGTTCAAAACAAAGTGAGCCTCACTTATTTTTAATTACATTTTTTCAAAGCAGTATAACCTACTACTTGGAGAGCATTAGGAAAAGTTGCTCCGTTTCAACAGCAGAGATGAAACACAGCCAGAGCCCCACAGGAGGGTCCAAACACACCTCCTGAGATGAGAAACTGGAGCATGAACATACTGTGATAAATAAAGAACTGTGATTCGTGAAACAAAGGGGTGATTACAGCAAAATAAACGGATTGTAAAACTTAATTACACCCCCATAAAGAAATAAAACACACCCTTACAAGGTCAAGAGGCCTAAAACCTCCTTGCTGTCCTAAGAATAAAATATAGTAGAACTTTAAATCTTTAGGTGCCTGTTTGTCCAAGGATGCAGGAATTATGACTGGTTGTAGAGATAACTTTTAGCTTTAGCTGTAAGAAAACCCAGATATTAAATACTTAGCAAAAACCTGTAGAATGTCTATGTCTAGGATATAATTAATATGCATGAAGTAGCTAAGGTAAATACTAAATGTACCCTGTAGTGTGTGTGCAGATTTGGGCAGCTGGTCCCATCTCTGTCACCCAGCTGGCTGCTTTGCTTTTACCAGATAACAAACTCTTTGTTTATCACAGTATTCCCACGTGTGCACACTCAACATGCAGGTGCACATTCCAGCACAGTGTATGAAGACCTATTCAACAGGACAGGGATCTAGTTTTTTATCTACAAAACCCATAACTTACCTATTATGCAGCTTATCATAGTTTTCCTTCAAGAGCTCATTCTCTTTTTCTAGATAATTTATTCTTTCCTGTAACTATCATGGAGAAGGATCATTTCAGCACAAAAGGGAATTACAGTGAACGTGTGAAGACAAATAGTTAATAATCTGTATGCATTGTCAGGCTGTTATTTGTTCTTTTTCCACAGAATCAGAATCACAGGATATTCTGAGCTGGAAGGGCCCCACAAGGAGCACCAAGCCCAACTCTCAGCACTCTGTTCTAACCAGTGGAGCCAACCTCAGGGGCCACATCAGTCTCTCAGAAGCTTCAAAGTAACACCACATGGATTTAAATTTGGCCTAAACAGTCTTTTCCTGTTGTTTCTGTGCAGCTCAGACTGTTGCAGTGGAACAGTATCTAATCACATTCTCTCTTATGTAAAATAACATAAAAATCTATAGCCTTTTTTAAATTTCCATTTCAGTAAGTGACTATTAGTATTAGCTACTGTATGACTTTTGTATAATTAATGTTTTTTACTGCCATTATAGAAACAACACATCCTTGCTTTCAAAGTACTCACTAAAGCAGGATATGATTGTAAAGCTCTGAGACACCTTAACCAGGGAAGACACCTACATGCATTACAACAGTTTGAAGGTTTGGAGGAAATATCTGTAAGATAATCCTGGTAAACTTGGTTCACGTAAAATACATTTAAAATATGTGAAATTAAATTTAAGTTGCTACAAAACGTAAGAAAGAACAAGTAAGCTTGTAGACTCTTACTCTTCATATATGGAAGAGAATGAGGAATAAACCACCTGATTTTCAGCCCTAAATCTGGATGACTGTTAGTGATGACACTGCTTTCTGAGAGCCTCTAGACAAAGTAATAGAAGTGACTGATTTGAACTGCTAAATCAGACGTAACACCACATTTAATTACTACTGTAATTAAATCAGGTCGAAAGAATACTAATAAAGTAGCAATACATTTTCAAGAAAGCAAGTATGATTTTTTTTTCAGTTAACAACACACTTGTTCAGTATCAGAATTGACACAAAATCCTATGGTTTAACCTCAAATACTGTGCAGACACTGGTGCAGGGATTATGTGGCACAGGGATCAGGTGCTGTTCACAATTCTATAAAATGCAAGCAGTAGCTTTTTCTTTTTAATGGGATAAAAGTATATATATAATGAGGTCAATCTTCTAAATGTGCTTGAATGGCCTATTCACATTTCTGAAATTAAAAAGTATCCCATCATTAACTTCTCCCTTATCTATATGTACTACCTAAAGCAGATTCAAGATCTCTTGAACACAATCTCACCTCTTCTGTCCTCCTGTTTGAAATAGTTACTGATTGCAATTCTTTCTGAAGATGGAAGCACTTTAACCTTTCCTCTTTAAGTTGTGCATTCAGTTCATCACCTTTGGCTAATAAAGCATCATGGTTGGTCCTCAAATTCTTCAGGTTCTATGAGAAGGAAGGAGTATACAGGATAAAAATAAATAAAGGACTTTTTATTTCCTTTACATTTTCATTTACTTCAATGGATTATAGTAAGGCACACTTAACCAATTTTAATGCTGATAGAGCCTCTATTTGCAGAATCTTAGTTAATATTATACTGCCTACATTCCACAATCCTTTAATAAATCCTCATTCATTAAAAATTTCAATGTAAATCACATTAAAATTATGACTTGAGACAAAACAGTCCAAAGGCTCACCTCCTGATTAATAAAATGATTGAGAACTTATGCCAAATATATATGTGAGTACAGATTAATGACTGTAGACAGAAAGAAGTTAACTTCATTTTTTCCATATATATTCCTACAAAGTAGTTAAATGGAGCAGCTGAGTATGAACCCTGTACAAATTATTTATGTTCATATGCAGCCTGAATAGACTGGAAAAGAAAAAGAAAACCATGAAAAAGCAATCGCTAACTTCATCTTCAGAAATGAAATATCTCATTTCTCAGTAAGAAAAATGTTACAGAGAATAAATAATATTAGCAGTCAATCTTATTTCAGAGAGTTAATGAAGTCTATTACTCATAAATTTTTAAGTCTTTCTTCAGGGCTCCTCTTGCTCTGTGAACTGTATTTAAATAACTTCAAAAATGACACCCTAAAAATCATGTTTTTACATTCTTCTCATATCCCTCCACATTTCTTCCTTTCTCTCTTAAAGATAATGTTTGCCAAGGAAGATGGGAACGTTCCTGGAACAGAAAGAAGATCCCTCCCTCCAAATGATTATAAATTTGAAATGAAGAGGCATTCAGGCAATACATGATTTTCCACTTTAAAATAACTTCCACAAACATATGAACGGAAGCTAAACCCTAATGTGAGAACAAAAGAGCCAAACCTCCCCAACTTTACCCAAGATTGATAAAGTGAGAGGGGTCTGGTACCTCTTTTTGTAAATTGGTACATTTAAGTCAAAGCTCTCTCTTTAAATGATCAGGAATCTCTAATGGCAACCCAGGTCACTCTTCATAATCTGCTTGGGATGACTTTGCAGATAAAATCACTAAGACCCTTCTGAAAAAGAGAAATTAAGACTAAAAATTTGCTTGAGTGCAATGTAATGTGTGGTTCACTTTCATGTACTCGGTATTGTCAAGAATTGTGTATAATCTGTTTTTCCACTTAGCCTGTTAATGTGACAGGAGTATAGGAATGTTACTGATCAAATTGCATTTACCTCTTGAAGCTGGAGGAATTTTCCTTCCATAGCTGAAAGAGCATTGCTTTTCTCAGCCAGCTGTTTACGGACCTTGATCATTTCCACGTTGTCCTGAATGTTTAGCCTTCCAAATTAAAAAGAAATGCCTCATGAGAACACATATGGAAGAAGATTTCGTGTGTAATACCCAAATTAATTTCTCCTTCTGTAAACCATACTACAGAATTTAGGGAGATAAACATTCCACTGCATGATGACACAGCAACTTCAATCAATACATCTTTGCTTATTGTACAGAACTGTACACGACAGGAAGAGAAAACAATCCTACACCTAAAGAGATTATTTGTTTTCCATTCACTTCTTTCCCACCATCCAAAGTATTTGGTGCCAGCAGAATACCATTTTGTATTCACAGTTTCCACCTGTCAAACACTGTTAAGAAAATAAGCCTTAGCAATTTATACTGGAACACCTTAAGGCTGGTACTCAAACAACCTGTAGGTGTGTCTTAACTACATGAAAATCACTTAATATCCATGTTCTTACAATCCTAAGATTAATTTGAGAATGTACTGTTTAACAGAAAGGATGCTTAAAAGAATTCCAAGTTTTAAAAAATATTTAAGTGTTTTTCCTTACTTCAAACCAGTGCAACTCAACCCCGTTCTTTTCACGAGTATGGGAAGAGAAAATTATTGTTTTCATTACTTTCATTTTTTCAGAAAGTTAAAAAAAAATGTATTAAATATAAGCAGTGTAATTTTTCACTTTAGCCAGCACACAGCAAAGGTGGTTTTTTTTCCACAGACTGCTATTGTTAGAACAGCTTCAGAAAAATCACTGAAACTTTGAAGTTTTGCTAAACCAACCCTCAGAGGCTTCAATGAACAAACCCTGGGGGAGAGAAGTATTGCTGAAAATTGGACACAAAGAAGGCACAGCTTATAGCCCTCTGAGGACATGCTGAAGAAACCAGAAGAAAAAGAAGAAACAAAGACAGTACCTGGAAAAAGGATAATAAAAAGGATGACAATGTGGACTAATGAGCATGAGAAGCAAGAAACCAGTAACCATTAGAAGATATAACACTAATTAGCGAAGACAATAATATCATCTAGAACCAATGAATGTTATTTTCTGTTTGCTAAAGATGTATAAATACTGAAGAAGTTTTGAATGTGTGTGTGCATCTAGTTGGAGCCCCCCCTGCCCTCAGCACTGGGAATAAAGCAGTGCCACTTTCTCATACTAAAAATTAGTGCTGGAGAGTTCAATGTATCCCAATGCTTTCAGCAACAGTAGGGCCAATATTTTACTACTATTTGTAGATTCCAAATTCTTAATGAGTATTAGTGAACATTCAATTGCCCATATGAGCTTGTACCTAAAATTTTATAAGGATTAATAGTGAAGGATTAAAATTTTATGACTTGAACTTCGACTGAATCTGTATCAGCTGGAAATGAATTCTCCAACATGGTAATTATGAACTTGTTTATTTATGAAAAACACATTATAACTTCTTACTGTGACTATCTCCTTGCTCAGAAGTACCCATGGCTATTTGGTGACTTAGTTTCACTAAAGGGAAAAAAATGGATGAAGCCCCTATTCCTTTACAGTAATTTAGTAATTTAGCAGTAATTTCCACAGCTACATATAAAGATTATGACATAGCTCTTCCAGTGCTTCCACCATGGAACTTCCCAGCTTTCCCAGTACCTTTGGCTTGCTGTGCCTTGCTCTTTCAGCCTCAGGAGAGAGTCTTCAATCTCCTTTTCTTTCCTCCTCAGCTGACCCACGAGGATCTCTCTGGCATGTTCTAGTTCCTCAATGTGTTTCCTCTGGGAGTCAATCACAGCCTCCCTGCAAGGTCAAACATCTTACATTCCAAAAGCAGGGAAGTATTTAAGAAAAGGAAAAACTTTTAATGAATGCTCAACAGAGCTAAAACTTTTAAGTGTTCAGCAAAATTTATATTTCTTAATCACAGGCATCACAACAGAGGCTTGAGAGTTTAAATTACTATGAAAACACAACACAAACTCTCAAAATAAATGTTTATGTGGGCTGAACAATGCTTAGCAGAACCTGGCTGAAAACACTGTCCATGCTGTCTTCTACTCTATATTAGAATTATCCTCCCTCTAATCTATCAGTACCAAGTGTTTTCTGAAAAGCAAACCACCAGGACTAGCTATCAAAGGATTACCAGATCTTCCATGGATGGAGCAGTTAAAGTAATTTTTAAGCTTTTATTCTGAGATAGGTAAATTTACACCAAAAAAAAAACACCCAAAAGATGTGTCTTAAACACTGGGATTTATGCAGTAAATGCAATTTAAAAAATAATTGATGAAAACATTTCTGTGCAATGATTTCCTGTGATCCCAGTAAATCTTTGTGTTTACACAACTCCGAGCACAAAATATATGACTGCACATTAATTCATATATTTCTATACTTAGCTTGCCCATTTATTGAAAGTATAGCATTTACAGATGATGTCTTAAATCCAATTTAGCTAAATCATTATGAGAATAAAGAAACATGCTAAAATAGCTTTTGGAAAACCAGATTTCAAAACCTATACTTTAGAGAAGAAAAATGTTCTAATCAGACCTCAGTATCTTTAAATTAGATGTTAACTACCTTTTCTCCAGCCTATATAGCACCTATCTGCTCATTAAACTCTGTATCAGGGATGTTATAAGGGTTTATTTTCAGTTCAAAGGTGCAGTTGGATTACAAACCAATCCTCCATGTTCCTTATCAGAAAACATTTCTGCATTGTTACTGTTATCAGATCCAACCACTTCAGTTTATTTTCTGAAGTGAAAACTTCTGAAAAGATGTATTTTTTTCCCTCTTCGAGAAAACCATAAGTTTTAAGAATAATAGTGACAGAAAATAAATAATATGAAAATCATACAAATTTCTTATTTCAGCCCTTGAATCCTCAAGCAGACTCTGTCCATATTTTGGGAGCACAAGGTCAGATGATCTCACTTCTAAATTCTGAAGTCTCATTCCTGAAAACAAAGAAAAGATAAATTTTTGTCACGTTGCATGAAAAAGCATTTAACAAACCAGCAACCTCTATACAGTACAAACACTTGCAACTTCTATTGTAGATGCCATAAAAAGTATTTTTACATCAAATTCACATGGAAAGAAACAGAGTATCTACAACACAGCTGCTGTAAAATCTCAACTATGGGTGATACAGCATAGTGTTAAGTGTTAAAAACATGTCCTGAGAGGTCTTTTTAGAAGATTTTACTTTCAAAGTCAGAAAGCAGAGGTGGTGTCTTCTCAGAAGAACAATATCAATATTACTAAACAGGAACATGGAATTGTGATTGGTTTTTGTCAGCATTTTCTTTGCAAAATCACAAGAGTCATTCACCCAGACAGGCAACTAAAGGGCCATTTTTAGTAGCAGTGCAAATAATTTTCTTGTGTTCTTTAGAAGAATCCTAAGCCCCTAGTGAAGAAGAAAAGTCAGAAACTAACTAAGGAAGAACTGCAAAAGCAATGGTTTCTCCAAATTTTTCTACTTCTCTTTTTCCAACAAGAAGAAATAAAGTTTTGAGGTGGGACCAAAGCATGCACTACATTTCAAACACAGCATTAAGGCCATCCCTCAGTCCCCAAAAGGGACTCATTTAGGTTGAAAGTACAACGAGACCATCAGTTCCCCAAACACCTGAAAAAAATTACCTACTTTGCATTTGTGTTACCTTGATCTAATTTGAATTTTGGTCTCTAAGTATTATTTTTAAGGTACTGGTAATTGTGATATACATATATATGTGCCTGTATATATGCCTAGACTACATATATTTTTATTTACTTTTGTTCAAATCAAGGTATTTCTTGCACTCAATAAAGAAAGTATTATTTTTAAGGTACTGGTAATTGTGATATACATATATATGTGCCTGTATATATGCCTAGACTATATATGTTTTTATTTACTTTTGTTCAAATCAAGGTGTTTCTGGCACTCAATAAAGAAAGTGATGAGAAACCAGAGAGTATCTACTGAAAATCCATACCTGACTAGGACTTTTGGATGAGCTTTCCATGGTATTTTTAAATCAGCCAAACACAAAGCAGACACAGCAAGACATATTTATTTCTTTTTCCTGCCTCCTCACAGAGCTAAACTCTTCCTGAATTTTTCCAGGCGGTTTTTTTTATTTTTGGATAACTGCTCTGCGGATTTTCTGACCTGCACTGAAGGTGTTTTGAGGTTGAGGCTCGGGAGCAGCCTGTGAGCTCCCTGTTTGGGAGGAGTGTGGCTGGTACCTTTCTTGGCGTGCTCGGGCGTGCCGGAAGCCTCGCTGACTTTCCTGAGCCCGGAGTTGACGCGGGACTGGACGTGGCTGTAGGGACAGGGCCTGTGGCCCTGGATCTGCAGCTGCTGCTTGGTCGAAATGAGTTTGTTGCGCAGGTTCTCGTTTTGTTTCTCCAGCTCCCGAACTCTTTCTTGCAAATGCTCCATCATCTCCTCCAGCTCCAGGGCCTGGCCCAGCCTCCTGGGCCCACCACCTGCCTGCTCGGATTTTCTTCTGTCCTTAACAAGCCTCATTAACTTGGTGGTCATTCTGGGGGAAAACAATCCAAAAAACAGGAAAAGGAACGTGAAAACTCAGCATCAAAAGTATTCTGTTGGAAGAAACGTGATCACTGTGAAGACTTCACCGTAGAACCTGGATAATTGTGATAAACTGAGAAAATGATTCGAGCTGATTAAGAGAAAACAGTGTAAGGTCAATATGACCTGGAGAGAAAAGAAAAACAAGTCATAAAACTTAATTGGGCCCCTATAAAGAGATAAAACAAGTTACCCCTCTTTTACCTTGTGTAGGATTTATAGTGAGAGAATTTTGTTTAGTTAGCTAGATAATAGCACCTTTCTTAAAATGTATAACTTTGTATAGATAACAAGCGAACATCTGCTGAAAGTCTGATTTAACAATGTGTAATGTTTATACCCAGGTACCTAACAATGTGTAATGTTTATACTCATGTATAATGAATATTCATGTAGTAGCTGGAAATAAATGTAGAACAAATGTCTTCTTTGGGTGTGACAGGCATTGGGAGTTGTTGAACCCCTTCCCTGATCACCCAGCGCTGAATTTGCTTTTATCATATAATAAATTCTGATTGGAAATTGCCCGATTGGGTTTCTATTTCTCACAATAATAAAGCCAGGTTTTGGTATAACTATTACTGCCTGTGAAGAACTCTCTGCAGGTAAGTGAAAGCACTGTGCAGCAATGTGCTTTACAGCTGTACTGGGTCTGGCTGAGCTGCAGTTCAGTTCCCCAGCAGCCCTCACAGTGCTGTGCTTGGCACTGGGAGCTAGAAAGGTGTTGATAACACCCCAGTGTTTTGGCTCCTACTGAGCAGGGCTGGCACAGCACCAGCACTGGCACATTCCTCCCCCACCAATCGAGGGCAAGATTCTGGCAGGGGACACAAGCAGGCCAGCTGACCCAAAGTGACCAAAGTGACATTCCACACCGTGGAACATCAGCTCAGATATAAAAGCTAAGGAAAGGAGGAGGAAGTGGGGGCATTTGTTTTTTACAGTGTTTGCCTTCTGGAGCAACCACTGCATGCTGAATTCCCGCTCCCCGGGAAGTGGCCGGACACGGCTGCTGCTGGGAAGGGGAGAATAAACCTTCTTATTTTCCTCTTTGCTTGTGGGTGCACAAACTTTGCCTTTGGCTTTAGTAAAGTGCCTCATCTCAACCCACAAGTAGTTTTCCATCTTATTCTCTCTCCCCTGTCTGGCTGGGAAGGGCAGTGACAGTGGCTTGGTGGGCACCTGGCATCAGGCAAAGGTCAACCCACTACAACTGACAAATAAACAGATTTAAGGTTAGTAAAGGAAGGAGGCATATTTGCTCCACAGGCTGCTTAATTTTAACACATGATCTTCTATTAGAACCTCTGCATGCTGTTAAGTGGAGTTACAGACTTTGGATGTGATGGGGCAAACTATAAAAGCTCCAATTCCACAAAACATTCGACTACTGAAAGAATGATAATAACATGCAACATTTCAATGAGATATAATTTCCAGTATTTTAGGATTTAATTATATATTTCATTTCTAAAGTGGCTAAAATACATAAGTGGAGATATTTAAGGTACTCTGTAAAAAGAGACTTAATAGTTGCCATTACCATACTCAATTTTATCCTGGGTAAATATGACCAATGTGCTTCAGAGAAGGAACAGTGAGCTGAAGAATACAATTAGATACAGAGGGCATGGTTGCCATCTATCTTTAAAAGGACAAAAGGAGAAGGGTGGCTTTGATGGGACAGACAAGTTCAAGACTTCACAAAACTGGCCACATATCATCCAGACCTGTATCCAGTTTACAGGGAACCTATTTTTGAAAGCCCAGAAAGAAAACTGAAAATAAGGACACACTTAATTTGTCTAAAGGGGCTTGTTAGATTTTTGGATACTTGTGGACAGAAGCTTCTACTTGAAAGAACAAAATTAAACCAAACACATCCGTAGTAGGATGTCACAGAATGTTACTTGCCTGTAAGCAGGTTTTTTGTTTATTTGGTTTTTTTCAGTGTAATTCTACTAGAAATTCATTCCAAACTTCTAGTTACAAGGGTTTTGGCATGAGGGAAGCTAAGGAAGAAATTTAGCTTTAGATTTAGCTTTAGATTTTTCTCTGGCACTCTATATTTTTTATTTTCTGTGCCTTGCTCTACCATTTTGGACATTATGTGTAATTTTACCTAAGGGGATGCTGACTGCATCCACCTAAGTGGATATGGAGTGGTATGGCCCACGTTGCTGTGCACAGAAACAGAGGAACAGCCATTTGTAAGGAAACAATTCATTTGCTCTATCATCTTATATCTGACAACAGTCTAACAGAAAAGATGGAAATTATGTCCTGCTGGTCTACTGGATCCTGGCTCACTGAACACTGAGCCGTAAGGGAAGAATATTCTGGACTTTAACAAAGTATGAAACAGTCTCATGTACAGAGGCAATATTTTCAGCTGCCCTTTGATGAATTTGTTGGCTTCTGCTGAAAAGCCTGATCCCATGCAGCAAGACTGGATTAGCAATTAGCACAATGGGAACACACAGGAAAAGTGGTTGGGGAGTAACCAGCCCTCCTGCAACACAGGAATACCACAAACAGTTCTGCAGAGTCCAGACCAGCTTGATTAACACACAGATCTTAGCACACTAAGTTCAATAATCAGCCTAAAGTTGCTTGTATATGTTTGGGCACACTGGGTACTGTGCTCCCCATGCTCCCTGGGACTTTTTCATTGGAGTTATCTATTATGCTGAATAAAAATTAAGCTGATTATAAAAATATTTTGGTGCTAATTCAATGATAAAAGGCTGGATGCTAGTCAGCTTCTTCAAAAAACAGACAGGGACAAAAAAAGGGGCAGAATCTCTCTGTATAGGTCATTTTGATTCTAGAATAAAACCCTTGATAAATCATTAGGCTTCTGCAGCCTCTTCTTCAACTCCCAGAACACCTGTTATATTTGTACTTTGCCAGCACAGCTGGGAACCCAAAGTGCCAACTCCACAGTAGCAGGTAGCAGTGTACCTCTGTACATGGAGATCTAACAGGGTGCACTGCAAAAAGCATCTCACATACCCAGAGACAACCAGAAACCAACACAGAAATGGATTCCAAGGCGTGATTTTCCCCACGGCATCAGAAAGCGCTCTGAGAGAAACCAGCGTGACTTTCAACACGTCAATAACGTTTTGAGGGGCAAAAAAAAAAAAGTTTAAAATAAAAATACTAACCCCCCTACCTTTTAATTTTCTCCTCCTGCCTGTTTGCATGCTGCTTGAGCAGGAGGTGGTCGTCGCTTATCCGCAGGAATCTGTCCTCCAGTTCCTCGCGGCTGATGCGCGACACGGCCTGTCGAGCTTTCACGCTCTGTGCAGCCGACGGTTCTGCCCAAAGCAAGGCAACTTCAAATTACCCTCAACACCTTCAACAGCACGTAATTCAAAGCCTACCCCGCTTTGAAATACTGGAAAAAAAAAAATATTCATGACAATTTTCAAGTCATTTGATATTTTACACTCCCATCGGTCTGATAATTTTTTCAGATTTATTGGCACGTTAATCGCTTCCTTTTTCCTTCCTCTTAAAGACTAAAAAAAGAGTTCAAATGATGCAGCAAACTAAACAAAACACCCCCCAAAAAACCCAAGCCGAAAAATTTTTAAAAATTATCTACTAGACCATGCAAAGGTAACAATTTAGCAAGCAACCGAGTACGATCAAACGTACTACTGAAAAAATAAAATTAGCATTGCAATGAAGATGCTTTCAAATCTGTTTCAAGGTCAACATAGTCTCTTGAAGCTTGAAAGGGTTAACTCATAATTCTGAAAGTAAGTCCTATAGTTCTATTCTAACAGCAGCTGAGTAACATATAAGAATTGCGTGGTACTTTTGGTTCCAATTTTTTTGAATGGATCTGGCCTTGACCTTAATTCAGCAAAAAAGTTCTCTTGCCTTTTGGAAGGATGAATGTTACAGCTCAAGGAGTTTTCCAGGTTTTAGCATCTCACAGCAGCTCCTCTCTTATAACAAGCAACTTAAACATAGAATAGGTCACAGCACCTTTCAGAATTTAACTGAGATTCTGAATGGTATTTGAACTTAATTTTGCAAATGGGAACATCAAAAGCATCTTTAGAAAGAAACTAAAGCCACTGATCCGAGTCTGTAAGTGCAATAAGCAGCATCTGGCACCAACCTTGTGGTCCTTCAGTTCCAGCTGGAGTTTGACCTGGCTCTCTCCCAGCTGGGTCCCCCCCAGGTTCATCAGCTGACACAGGCATGGCTTATCCACCAGGAACAAACTCCAAAGGAAATGATTCTCCAGCTGCAATTGAAACTGTGAGACCAGAGTGAACCCCAACACATCATGTAAAACAGTGACAAAAGCCATGGCAGATTCACTGAAATAACAAACTCACACGTGACTGGAAATGCTCCTGTCTCAACTGGATTGCTCAGGGGACAATCTGAACTTTTAAGTTTCATGTTATGCTAACTGTAATCCATGGACAAAACACAGCTTTTTTGTTACACAATAGCTCCAACTGTAAATGTAGAATTATCATTGTTGTCTTCAGAAATCTTTGGGCTAAGGCCATATTTCCAAATAGATGGGGGAGGGGAACCTGTGGAGATTTTTGGGTTTTTGTTCGGGGTTTGGAGGGGTTTTTTTAACTATTTATTCATTTTAAGACAGGTCAAAGCTTAAGGCATCAACTGGTAGGTGACTAATGCCATCTTCCACATTTTCAGTGGGACTCTGAAACCAAGGTACTGGGGGTTATGGAGTCATTTCCATGCCTGCCATTCTCTTCATCTTCTTGCAATCATTGTCATAAGAGAAATTAGTTTTTAAGACAGAGACACTCCTAGGAATGATTCTCATAAACACCAAGACATTTCTCTCTTGAGGCAGCAGAAAGTTTAGTTACATGACAAAGTGAGATTAGGAAAGTATTCATGTGAGAAAGTACTACATTTGTTTCAGAGTAATATGTGAAGAAACTTGTTAACCACTGCTGTTTCTTTCTTGTCTTCCAGTGCAGAAAATTAGCTGCTGGCCAGAGATTCAAGTAATGCTGAAACAGCAAGAAAAGGAGAAACATAAAGTCCTTTGCATGGCCTTTTCCTCCCACTGTTGTTACACTCTTGAGGTGATACAAATCCCTGGTGAATTGAAAAATATCTAGGAATGTACTGGGAAATGAACAGTGATGTTACTAAAGACCTGCACCAGAGGACAGAAGCTACACAGACATTCCATGAAATACCTGTTAATTTTATCCTAATCAAAGCTGCTGCTAGAGCAATGCCTTCCTTCTGCTAGTAAAGTCTTCTGTCATGAACAGGTGTCCTTATGGCTTTGTCCAAAAGGAACAAAAAGGTTTTTAATGGAAGTTTAGTTTCCAACAAGTCAGTCTTGCTTTCAATTCTTTTCACTAAAATTTAGTGTTATTTCCAGCTTTGACTGTTTATAAAAACCTGGACCCATTTTTCTTTCCTGTGGAACAAATGCTTCCTTATGTTATATGTCACTGTACCAATGTCTTTACAGCAACTGAGATTAAAGAGAAACCAGAACCCCTAGATAATCAACCCAAATTTGGTTCGTGATGGTAGCAAGGAGAAGATGTTACAATTATGTCTTTCCAGAATGTAGATGTCTTTGTCTTTTGATTGACAAACCAAAAAATACAAAGGTTTTTGGAAAATTTCAGAGATGTCAAGAGCTAAACAAATATTTTATCAGTAAGACTCCACAATGTTTGTGATCTATCAAAACCAAGCTTCAAACCCACCACCACAATAACAGGCATAGGCAAACACTACTGGTTTTCACTATTTCCTGCTTGCTTAAGAAACTTTGCTATGGTTGTTCTCTTCAGTATCAAAGAAACCCATTCATTTAAAAACAAAGCCAAAACAACATATGCTTGTACCTCGAATAAGAGAAAGCATAATAAAGCAAGAGAGATAAATTTGTATTTATATCTTGCCAGATCCACGTCATGCTGAACCTTAAAAACTTAAATCAGGTTTTATTTCCAAGAAAGATTAACAAATGCTGAAGTGACTGTAGAGTAATCAAAAATTAAGAGAGCAGAACTTCACATATGAAGAGAGGAAAAAAAATCCATATCTCTAGGATTAACCTAGTATAAGTAAGAATTTTACATGTAGTTACTAAAGTTAAAGAAACCTTAACTTTTTTATATACTGCACTACTTTAAAAACTGGTTCTATCACCACCAGTATCTGACAAAAAAAGTGCATATGACTTTGCAGTGTTAGACAAGACCAGACCATAATGAGATGGATACTTAAAACTAGAGTATCAAAGCTCATGCTTTAGGTCCAAATTCCTGTATAACTCCCAGAAGTGAACTGTTGTCCCAGCATCATTCAAAAGTAGCAAAACTGCGGATTTTAAATTATCAGAAGTTCTCAGCCAGTGGGGCTGGACGGGGTTTCTAATGAAATCTTAAAAACTGTGACCATTTAATTGTTTCAATACGGATTTAGAATTTCCTGAGTCTCGGACATGGCCAAGATGATGCTTTTCTCACAAAATCCTGTCCCACTTCTCTGATAGAAGGAAGAAGAAAAAAAGAAAAGGAAAAGGAAAAAACAAAAAGGAGGAGAAACCCCTTGTCTACCTTGGCCTTGGAAATACAAAGTATTTCCAGCCTACATTCTCTCTCTATTGACTCCTTCAAAGATAAACATTTACTCTATTTGGCTTGTCATCTAAAATAATCTCATTTATTACTTGGAAGGAGTATTCACTCATATAAACTTTCACATATCATCTTCCAAACATTATCTGCTGCAGTGTTGTGACTTTTGGGAGGTGGAAAGGAAAAAAGGAGAGAAGATAGTAGGAAACAAGATCACAATATTCTGCTGTAGACTGAGGGGAGAAACACCTCTCAGACCTGTAAGTCCTACTACAACACAGAAAAATCAAAACAACCTTGTCTTGCCTTTAATATATTTTACAAGTGCCTTCCAAACTTTTCTTCAGCTCCGCCAGTTCTGACGAATCCTTACACGACTGGAAGGAGCAGGGAGGGAAGGCGGCGTTCGCCTCACGGGGAGTGGTCCCAGTCAGGGTCTGAGCATTGTTTTTAGGCTGGATCTGAGCACTAGTCTCAGTCTGGGCAGGGTCTGAGCACTGGTTTTAGGCTGGATCTGAGCACTGGTCCCAGTCTGGGCAGGGACCTCTTCGGGCACAGGAACGCAACTCCCGCTCGAGCCCAGCGGCCTTTCTACGTACAAAGCTGCAACCCAGGCCGCCTCTCAGGGCTCTTTTGATTAAAGCCGTGAGGCACTCGGTCTCTTCACCGAGGTGCGAGGAGGAGCCCCCGCGGGTCTGACACCCCCTCTCGGGTTGCCACGCCGCAGGCCGGCTGCCGGGCCGGGCACAGCCCCGCGCGGGGCTCGGCGCCACATCGCCCTCGGCAGCTCCCGCCCGCAGGAGGAGCAGCCCCCCCGCACTCACCGGCCCGGCGCGTCCTCGGTGCTCCCTCGGCAACTGCCGGCGGGAACAACGGCAGCCGCCGTGCGGGCCGAGCGCCCGCTGCCCCCCGGGACCGCGGTTCGGGCTCAGCCCCGCCGGCAGCCGCGCTTAGGGCTCGGGCTCGGCCCCCGCCTCACGCTCGAGTCGGGTTCGGGCTCAGCCCCCGCCTCACGCTCGGGTCGGGTTCGGGCTCAGCCCCCGCCTCACGCTCGGGTCGGGTTCGGGTCCGGGTCCGGGCTCGGCCCCCGTCTCACGCTCGGTTCGGGTTCGGCTCCGGGTTCGGGTCCGGGCTCAGCCCCCGCCTCACGCTCGGTTCGGGTTCGGCTCCGGGTTCGGGTCCGGGCTCAGCCCCCGCCTCACGCTCGGTTCGGGTTCGGCTCCGGGCTCGGCCCCCGCCTCACGCTCGGTTCGGCTCCGGGCTCGGCCCCCGCCGCACGTCGGTTCGGGTTCGGGTCCGGGCTCGGCCCCCGCCTCACGCCCGGTTCGGGTCCGGGCTCGGCCCCCGCCTCACGCTCGGTTCGGGTCCGGGTTCGGGTCCGGGCTCGGCCCCCGCCTCACGCTCGGTTCGGGTCCGGGCTCAGCCCCCGCCTCACGCTCGGTTCGGGTTCAGGTCCGTGCTCAGCCCCCGCCTCACGCCCGGTTGGGGCGGGGCCCGCGCGCCGCCGCCTCACGCTCGGGCCTCTCGCTCGCCCCCTGCTGGCGCGGGGCCGGACCGAGGATTGAAGGTCCCGCTGCAAAACGTCGGAGACGTGTAAAAGTTTTCTAAAAAGGTAAAAATAGTGAAAAGCTTCGGTAGCCGTCGTGCTGGCGCTGTGCATTTGCCACCCAGCCCCCCCCTTTCTTTCTGCTGTAGAGCTGTAAATAAATAAAATGGCTCGGCTTTGTGGGTGGATCGGCCCCTTGCACGCCGGGTGAAAACGTATTTCCCCTCTCCCTTTAAAGACGAAAACTAATAGTTTTTTAACAGTAGCTAGTGATAAACGTTTGTGCCATCTGGGCAAGATATTTAAATTTAGAAGAGTCTCTAGTGTAATATATATATATGTATATATATATATGTATATGTGTATATATATATGTATATATATGTGTGTATATATATATGTATATATATATGTGTATATATATATATGTATATATATATATGTGTGTATATATATATATATATATATATATTCCTAGGGAGATGCTGCACTGTGCCGCTACGTAACTTTTATTTTCAAATTTAAAAGTACTCTACGCCAAGTTTAGGACATTTTTCATCTTTTACGTGACCCAAGTTTTATAATGCTTTTATAACGTGTTTAGATTTTTTTTTGCTGGCACCAAAGATGTTAATAAAAGACGTTGGTGAAAGCAAACAGCGTTGCTAAAGGTTTTGCTGTTACAGGTGCCTTTGAACATAATTTTTTGTTTCTACCACATTGCACAATACTGGACTGCAGCTCTTGATGGCTGTTGTGCCTCTGCTGGTTTCTGTTCAGAAAATAGCAGTCCAGAGAAGCAGTATGAAAGCATATTCTTTGAAAGCATAATGCTGATTTTAGTGATGATAATGAAAGAACAGCCAATTCCATTGTAAACTGAGATAAAGCTTTCTAAGATTGCAATCAGACACACCTGAACAGAGAACGTATGGGTTTGGTATTGCTGTTAATTTACTATTCAACATTAAAAGTTGTTTCACTGTAGGGGCAGGCAAAAGATTTGATCCAAGTTTGCAACTGAAGATTTTAATTTACTACTGCTGGCAGCAGTAAAATTCTTCTCTTTAACAATGACCTGGTCATTTTGTAATCGGTCTTGTTTTGCTATAGTTGTGTACAATTAAATGCTGTCTAGCAGAATCCCAGTGATTGGCTTTTGCTTTGTATTTATGGTAAGCTGGTCTCACTCTCTCAAATATTCCTGAGAAGGTGGATGTGAAAATTCATTCTTGGGAATGGAGCCATGGGCTTGTGCTTGTGGGAACACACCTGTCCAGGGCACTGGGATCTGGTTCAAACTCCAGTTGCCCTTATGTCCAGGGATGCAGGGTCTGAGGGATTGGATTTCCCTGTAGGTTTGCAGTGACAGTTTGGGGTGGCTTTTTTTCATTTCAATCCTTGCTGGAATGAGCAAGAGCCCAAAACACTGCAGGGTCACCGAAGTGTGTCAGGACAAGGAAATGCAAAAGCCAAGGAGCTTCTCCTCCTTGGAGTTCCCTTGGAGCCCCTTTGGGCTCCAAATTCCTGGGCACAGATAAGGAGAGGAGTGACCACAGCCCTGTGTCCCTGCAGAATCCATCTCCTGTAGAGTCCCTTTCCTTCAGAGGAATTTGAGGAGGACACAGGGAACGCTGGTAGCAAACCCCCTGAATCCATCCTTTGATTTCACCCAGGTTTGTTAAGACATAAATACCCTGAACGTGATTTTTCTAAGAATAATCTTGACTTGTGCAACTAATCCAATTTGTATTTTGGTTGGGCTTTTTTGGTTTTTTGGGGTTTTTTTTAGTGTTTTGTTTTGGTTTTTGTTTTGGGCAGTTTTTTGTTTGTTTGTTTGGGGGGGGTTGGTTGTTTGGGGGTTTCTGAGTGTTTTGTTTTGGGATTGGAAACACAAAAGGGGCTTTTTAGCTTGGCCAAAGCTGTGCTCATACACTGATAAAGAAATGCTGGAAACCTGTTCCAGGTGATGTGTGCTGACTTACCACAGACATCAGGGAATATTTTACAGGAACATTCTCTGTATTTGTGGCAGATTTTCCCAGGATTCACCGTGGTCCAGCACCAGCGCTCAGATCAGTTAGAACTTGCATTTTTCAGCCAGTAAAATTTTATAGGTTGATCTGAGAGCCTTTTGTTCCTGAGCAAAGAGGGGGGAACTTGGGCTCTTGATAATCAATCTGTATTTTTTAGAAATAAAAGGGAATCACATGAGGAGATTTGACTGAGCTAAAGCCAGCAAGCCCTGGCTGAGGGGTTGGCTCAGGGACACTCCAGGTGTCATTAAGCAGCTGTTTTGTGACACTGGGTTGTGTCTGGTTTTATTTTCAGCATCCTCACTTTTATAGCACTTCCCTCTGCTGCCAGTCTGGAACCAAAATCCTGGGATCCTGACAGGCTGTGCTGAAGGGGCTGGGTCTGCTCCAGGGGTAGGTTTGGAGGGAGCCAAATAACTCAGTACAGGGGAGATCCCAGAGCTGCTTTTCTCCTCCGTGGAGCCTGACCTAGGGAATGATTCCAAGTGGACAATGCCAGCAGATCCCTGGGCAGGATGGGAGCACTGGTTTTAGGCTGGATCTGAGCACTGGTCCCAGTCTGGGCACGGTCTGAGCACTGGTCCCAGTCTGGGCAGAGTCTGAGCACTGGTTTTAGGCTGGATCTGAGCAGTGGTCCCAGTCTGGGCAGAGTCTGAGCACTGGTTTTAGGGTGGATCTGAGCACTGGTCCCAGTCTGGGCAGGGTCTGAGCACTGGTTTTAGGCTGGATCTGAGCAGTGGTCCCAGTCTGGGCAGGGTCTGAGCACTGGTTTTAGGCTGGATCTGAGCAGTGGTCCCAGTGTGGGCAGGGTCTGAGCACTGGTTTTAGGCTGGATCTGAGCACTGGTCCCAGTCTGGGCAGGGTCTGAGCACTGGTTTTAGGCTGGATCTGAGCACTGGTCCCAGTGTGGGCAGGGTCTGAGCACTGGTTCCAGGCTGTGGTGCCACACAAAGAGCATGTTCTGATGCCCAGGGGTGGGGGGGTGAATGAAATCCTCATCCCCAGGAGCAGGGAAAGGGCTGAGTGCTGCGTGTTCCCTGAGTTCTGAACACTCAATCACACCCAGATCCCCCTTTCTTTCCTGTTAGGATTATTGGAAGCAATAGTAGGATTGACCCAGGACATAAATAAGTCCAGCAGGTGATGGCACAGTGAGGTGTGACGAGATTCCCTGTCCAATAATCAGAGTTTGAACACTGAATTTGCTGCTTCCAAAAAGTTTTGATTTGTGCATTACTGCAAGTGGTGAGCTAAGATTTTCCCTGGAAAAAGGCAAAAGAGGAAAGGGAAAGGAGGAAAGGGAAAAGATGAAAGGAAAAGGAGAAAAGGGAATGGAGGAAAGGGAAAAGGGAAAAGAGGAAAGGGGAAAGGGAAAGGAGAAAAGGGAAATGAGGAAAGGGAAGAAACAGAGAAAGATAAAAAGAGTATAGGAAAGAAAAAGAAAGAGAAAGAAAATGAGAAAGAAAGAAAAACAGAAAGAGAAAGAAAATGAGAATAATGGAAAGAAAAAAGAAAAAGAAAATGAGGAAGATGGAAAGAAAAACAGAAAGATAAAGAAAATGAGAAAGATGGAAAGAAAAACAGAAAGAGAAAGAAAATGAGAAAGATGGAAAGAAAAACAGAAAGAGAAAGAAAATGAGGAAGATGGAAAGAAAAACAGAAAGAGAAAGAAAATGAGGAAGATGGAAAGAAAAAAAAGAAAGAGAAAGAAAAAGAAAAAAGAGAAAAATTAAAAAGAGAAAGAAAAAGAAAATGGTAAAAATTGATGCTTAAATGTTATAGTATCTCATTTAAATTACATTAAAATTTATGTTTGCTCTAGAGATGTAACCAATGATAACAAAGGGTGCAATGTGAGCAAGGCTCAGTATTTCTCGATGCTACCTAATGAACTTGGTAAAGTAATGGAGCCAAAATGCAGTTTAAGGGACCCTTGATATCAGCAGAAACTCCTCTGGAAGGAGGTGCCCAGCCTGAGAAAAAACCCTCCTGAATAAATCAGCCATTCCAGCCCGGGGAATGTTGGGAGCTGTGCCTGGCTCAGCTCTGCCCTCCCTGTTCTGTGTTTCACAGGGTGAAAAGGGACTATGTTTGTAAGTTCAGAAGAAGACACCTGGGGCACCTCCCTCTCCTGCTGTTCCAACAGCTTCTGCTCCAGGATGAATAACATTGGCCTGGAAGTAATTCCAGAGGTTTCCTTGGAGGTCCTGGGATTATGTGTGCTCTCAGGACTAAGGACAGTCACAGCTGCCTTGTTATGGGGCTGTTGAGCTCTAGGTTTTGCTCTCAGGAGTTACTACTCATCCAGCCAGGGGGAGCAGGGATTTGGGATTACAGGAACACCAGCAACAGTCAGAGCATCCCAGAATGGTTTGGGTTGCAAGGGACCTTAAAGCTCATCCAGTCCCACCCCCTGCCACGGGCAGGGACACCTTCCACTGGCCCAGGTTGCTCCAACCTGGCCTTGGGCACTGGCAGGGCTGTGGTAGCACAGACTAACCCAGTGTCTGCAGCACTCCTGGGACAAACCCAGCCCTGCAACACCTGAGGAGTCCCTGAAAACTCCTTGTTTTTTTACTAAAACCCACTAAATGCCTCTTTTGCTGTGGTGCTGTGCCACCCCTGAGTCCAGCTGTGCAGAGCAGGCATTCAGCTCCAAAGCT